TCTACCTCTGGTTCTACCTCTGGTTCTACCTCTGGTTCTACCTCTGGTTCTACCTCTGGTTCTAGCTCTGGCTCCACCTCTGGCCCTGGTTCTAGCTCTGGCTCTGGTTCGGAATCTGGCTCTACCTCTGGTTCTGGTTCTAGCTCTAACTCTGGCTCTGTATCTGCCTCTAGCCCTAGCACTGGCACTGGCACTGGTAGCTCTGCCTCTAGCTCCAGCTCTGCCTCTAGTTCCAGCTCTGCCTCTAGTTCCAGCTCAGGCTCCATCCCTGTCGGAGTGGAGGCCATCACTGCAGCCTCAACGACGACTGCCGCTCCCTCAGGATCGACCATCATCGCTGTGGCGACCTCTGCTGCCTCCCAGAGCGGATCTGGTTCCTCGACCGCCAGCTCCAGTGCCCCCGTCTACACTGGCGCGTCTGTCTCACAGTATGGGCTCGTCTCGTCCGGGCTGGCTGCTACCTGCTGGCTTATCGTTGGCCTGTTTCTTGCCTAGATAATTTGTCGACCTCAGTCATAAGCCAAGCGTGGTGTACATAATTATTTCCACTTCTCACTCAGAGTGTGACCTCTTATAGAGTGTATTTTATGATTTTCAATAAGCGGTTCAATTGAGTATTGATCTTGGTAGTACTTCGTCTTGAATTGAAATGCTTGGATTACCAGCTCCCACCTCGTATTCGGTTAGCATGGGCACTGTAGGGTTAGGGTTAGGGTTAGTTATAGGGTCAGGGCGGGTCATACATCTCTGTATGTTGGAGTACTGTGTACTATGCAGTACTATAAAAATTAGTTTAATAGTATGGTATGTTCTTATATTATCCGTATGTCAAGTCTCATGCTGGAGTGATAATCAAGTGCATGAATCAAACTACATGCAACTGAGATAAGATAGGAGAACTATATCTACTAGAATGTAGACTCCCTACAGAACTCAGAAGATACAGTCTAAATCTATATTTGGTCATTATCATCTAATCATCGAGAATCATACAGGCGACCACCATGGAGGCCGTCATCCCCCCCGTGGGCGTGTAGACCCCCCTGGGTCTGTTCTCGTCGCCTCTCCCCTGGCGCTCCAGCTCACAGCTCCTGTCCCACAGATCGTGCAGGTCGACGGCGCACTGGAGCTGGCCGGCCAGGTAATCCTGCAGCTCCGGCACGGGCTGCAGGCAGTACGGGGTTTCCTTGAGGCGCTGGATGTCGTGGAGGGTGGCGGCGAGGAGGGTGTATTTTTGGAAGTTGATGAGGTTGTCCGGGGTGAGGGCGGGGTTTCCATCTTCGATGAAGGTGATGTCTTTGAGAAAGACGCCCAGAAAGGGGATACACGGCGGGACGGTGCTCTGCAGTTTATCCCGGTACGTCTGGTAATTCTGTGTGCTGGAAATGAGGGCCTGGAGGGGTCGGAGGGAATTGCACGCCCGTTCGGTCACCATCGCCCATGTCCGGACCAGCCGGTAGATGGGGGCGCTTTCCAGGCCCGACAGGATGGAAACCACCGACGAGTAGTTTTGGAGTTCATACAGGGACTGACTGTGAATAAGAAGCAAGTCAGATAAAGGTATAGGAGAGAATGAAACGTACTGTTGCGACATTCACCAGATGGCCAATCACGCCCGCCCGCTTCTTCAGATCGGGTTCGGCGAGGATCAGCGAGCCAACCCAGTTGGAGAGCTGGTTGGAATATCGGATCAACGGCCGGATCTGGTTGTTGGGCTCGTTCTTCTTCTGGAAGTTCTTGTGCAGGAAATTGTCCGGCTGCAGCTTGTTAAACATGTGGGCTTCCAGGATGGTCAACTGGCGAGCCAGCTCGAGGGGATCCATCTTGATGAACTGCGGCTTGTCCAGCTTCAGCTTGCGCGGGAGGATGGGTTTCGGGGGCGTGGCACTAATAGATGGCCGCGAGATCTTCCGGGGCACCACGAACCCTGCGCGACGCCGCTGGATGAGGCCGAGCACCTGTTGCGTCGCGTTGGTGTCGATCACCGCCATCGCCCGCTGGGCAAAGGACTGCACTTTGAGCAATAGAGCGGCCTCGTCGGCGGCGGCGGCGGCGGCGGCGTCGGGCCAGAAATTCTCCAGCCACTGCTTCAGCACGTTGATCACACGGAACCGAACCAGCGGCTGTGCCGGCGACTGGTCAAACCGGGCGATGAGCAGATCCAGCAGCTCGGCGGTGGTGGTGAAGTAGGTGTACAGCATGAAAAACGTGCGGTTGAAGGCGGCGTCGAGCCGGTCATGGCGCGTCAGATGGCCGACCAGGGCGGGCAGGCTGCCCGCCTTGACGGCCTCGTTCTCATCGTAGACGATCCTGCCCTCGAGGGAGTCGGTCTTCTCATCCATCGTTGGGTTGAGTATCTTCAGGTCGATCTATCACGTGATGCTTTGCAACAGCGACAGGCGTTAGCCATCATCATTATTAGAAGACTCATAAGGACGACTCCACAGCCGGTGCGCAGGAGCGTCCGATCTCGGCTACGTCACTGGCCGCCGCCAGGGTCGAACGGATGGCGTGACTGGTATTTTTAGCCGAGAATCGGATGGAATTATCCGTTATCTGATCCGACGCCGCGTGGAGGCCCACCCAGGCCAACCACCGATCCATGCTGCGGACCCACAGACGCCCCGCCGGGGACCCGCATCGCACGGCACACACGCGGCTGATTGGCGGCAGCGGGGGGCAGGGATCAGATAATCTGCTCACTTGACCAGCCGTTCTCGGTGTTTGTGGAGTATTGCCGACTTGGCTTTATGTAATACAGGCGAATCCTTCTGAAAATTTACATCAACTACACTACAGTATACTCCGGGCCAGAGAAAGCGAAAGGTATAGAATGGGTAGACTCCGTAGAGAGGGTATAATGGAAGAAGTAGAGGGTATTAGAAAACAACGCCTTGGACCTGCGGCTTGCGCTTGAGATTGATGTCCTTGATGAGGAGGGTCCACGGGATGGCGAGGACGATGATGCCGCAGCCGACGGACAGCAGGCGGAGCTCGGCATACGCGTAGGCCTTCTGGATAGCCATGCGGGTGGCACTGCCCACGGGATAGCTGATTTGCGTGCTGAGATCCTCGTAGATGCTGTGGATGTTGGCCAGCGCCGATTCGGGCAGATAGCGAAGCAGCGCCTTGTGGTACGTGTTCTGCCAGATCACCGTGCTGATCGTGAGCCCGGCGCTGTCGCCCAGAGTGCCCACGACGTTGAGCAGGGCCAGCGCCGTCGCCACGTACTGGTGGTCGACCGCCGCCAGGATGGCCAGCTGCTCGATGAGAATAAAGACCGAGCCCGCAATCGCCAGGAAGATCTGGCACATCACCTGGTACCCAACGTTCATGTTCGGGCGGCGGAAGTAGATCATCAGCCCCTGCGCGAAGATGTACAGCGGCACGGAGATGTACAGCGTCCATTTATACCGCCCCACGCGGCGGATCATCCAGCCGACAAACAGCAGCAGCGCCCCGGAGACCATGTCGAAGATGTTGATGATGTAGTTGGCCGTCGTGATCGTCAGGTCGTTGTTGACCTGCAGCCACGAGGTGAAGTAGTAGCTCCAGCAGTAGTTCGATAGCTGGTACGTCGCATCCAGCAGCACGGTCCCGACGATCGTCCGGTTGGTCAACAGCTTCCAATCCAGCAGCGGCACCGGCGCCAGCCATGCCTCCCAGATGGCGAACACGAACAGCATCAGGAACCCGACCACCAGCATCGCGATGATATACCCGGATCCCCAGCCTTCGGGGGCGTATGCGGCGATATCAAACGGCAATTCAAACAACACCAGGCCGGTTGTGAAAATCACAACCCCAAGGACTGCTCCTCAGTCAAAGGAACCTTTGATCGGGAAGATGGAGAACGTACGGTCAAATTCCACTGTATAATGGACGATACTCTCGAGGAGGGTGCGTCCACTGGGCCGTTTGATGCGATGGCCCTCCTTCTCCGCTTTGTACAGGTTATATTTGAGGATGATGTAAAGAGGCGCCGCAACGATGGGCGTGATGATGGCCCAGCAGCCGAATCCCCATCGCCAGGAGACCTGGTAGTAGAACTCGTCGGCGACTTTCGGGCCTGCAAATGCGGTGATGATGTACGGCGAGGAGGTGAAGGCGTATGCGAGCGCCCGGTTATTCAACGTCGACACATCGGCAGTGACCACGTCCACTGCGTATTCCATTCCGTAGAAGCCAATATAGTAAAAGACCTATCATGTAAGAATCATTCATTTAACTTCAACAGTTCAATCTTTCATCCTCACATTTGCGGCGCAGTAGATTTCAAAACTGTTGCAGGCGGCCATGAGCACGAGCCCGATGGTCGCACAGATCACCATCAGCAGGAACCCCTCGGCACGACCCCAGACATCCATCATCTTGGCGATGGGCAGATACGTCGCGGCGGCAAAGGCATCGCCCAGGGCCGTCGGCACGGCGGAGAGGGAATGCGCCTGGAAGGAACTCGTCACGTAAGGGTTTAGACTGGTGGTGATGGTCGACTGGAAGGCATTGACAAAATAGAGGAACCAGATACTGCAAATTAGTATAACTATAGTATACAGTATAGTATACAGTATAATATAGTATAGTATGCAGACTCAACTCACTTGACAAATACTGCGATGAGCATCCCCTTGGACCAGGTGATGGTCACTGCCTCGACATCCTGGACTCCCCGCTGGGTGTATTCGGTCTCGTCTTTTCCATCTCGCTCGATGCAGATGTTCTCTGCCTCGGACTTTTCTGAGATTCGGCTGAACACCGTCCGGGCTCTTCGCAGGCGGACGCCCATGATAGATCACAATCTCAATCTCTGGAAATTCTCCTGGCGTGGAACGTGGATTCTACAGCTCGTATTTACTCTCTCTGTTGTGTGACGTCTCCGAGATCGGAGAATGCAGGAGGCCCCTTGGCATGCATGAGATGCTCCACTTGTAAGATTATCACTCACAGCCATCACATCACATTTCTTTGTTATTAGCTAACTAGTCTATATAGTGCTTGGCACTTGGTCTTAGCTGCATTAGTCCTCTATACCTGTTTCATCACTCGACTTTCAGTTGGCTTGATGCCTTGTACAAGTACGAGTAGACCTAATTAATAGAATACACTAGACCTAATTGATATAGTATGCTAGACTTAATATAGTATACTAGACCTGAAGAGTATACTCAGTATTGTACAACCTTTATGTACTAACTACTCCAGAATTATATCCAGTATTCTGCTCCCAAAAACATTATATACTCATTCCACATTTAGACATTACTTAGATCATCAGGTAGGCGCTCAATCCCAGGACGATAGCCTGGATCAAGCTAGAGCTCGAGAGGCTGGCAGCGCCGCTGGTGGGAGCAACAGACGACGAGCTGGAGCTGGAGGTGGTGGAGCTGGTGGTAGAGCCAGAGCCAGAGGTAGAGCCAGAGCTGGAGCTGGAGCTGGAGCTGGAGCTGGTAGAGCTGGATGCAACGCTGGACGCAACGCTGGACGCAGTAACGACGGCCGAGCTGCCGGGGATGACAGCGACGGGGGTGCTGGCAGCAGAGGGGACCGAGACGGGGATGGAAGTCACCGAGACCGGGGCGGAGGAAGACACGGGCACAGGCACGACGGTGGTGGCAGCGACGACGGACGAGGCAGCAGCCGAGGAAGAAGCAGAGCAGGTCGAGTCGGCCGTCAGCTCAATAGACACACACTCGGTCACCGAGGTGCTGTTGGTCGTGTAGATGTTGTCGCCGTTGTTCTCGCCCGTCGCGCAGGCAATAAAGGCCGCGCTGCCGTCGAACTCGAGCGTGGTGGAGGAGAGGGTGAAGCCGTAGGTGCCGGTCGCGCCCTCGTCACACTGGAACTGGGTGGTTTCCTCTATGGAATCCAACATTAGTCACAAGTGTCACCAATGTATGGGGTCTCAGTATTTACCAGTAATGACACATCCCCGGCCCTCACTGTCAGTGATGATGCCATCAGCAAGGCAGAAGGTGGCAGCCGACAGAGTGTCGTCGCCCACACGCACCTGGCCGTCGGTGAGCTGGCCGAGGGTGCCGGAGTCGCCGCCAGAGGCAGTCAGCGTGAAGCAGCAGCTGTCGCTGCGGGCAACGAGAGCCTGGGCGGAGGCCGCAAGGGCGAGGGCAATGACGGTCTTCATGGTGTGTTGTATAAACGACTGAGTGTTGTATAAACGACCGAGTGTTGCACAGGTAAAGAATATAAAGAATACTCAGACAGAAAATCCAGAATCTTGTACTGTCCAGTGCATTCTTATAATCCTGCCAAGCAACAAAGAGGGCTGTTGACGACGCGTGGCAGCATCCTTGCCACCGGCCCTCGCCACACGCATATCCTGGGTGGATTGGGCAATTCCCAGCGATCGCCCATGGTTCGATCAGACTTTTGTCCACGTCATCAGGTACAAACTCAACAAGTAAAATAGATAATTTATACAGACATTTGACATCATAGGTAAAATAAAATGTAAATAAATAAATATATACTTATATTTGTATGAAAATTGAATATACTATCAAGCATTGAGTGCTGATTGTACTTGGTCTTTGGGATCACAATCATCAAGTTTCCAAGTGTTGTCGTCATCGCATGGCTGGGCCAATCATCATTGACTGTGCTGGCTACTACCACAACAGGTACCAGGCTGTTCCTTGGTTGAGCTGGCTGAGCTGCTTGAGCTGGTTGGGTGCCTGGCAACCAGCCCCGTTGATATTCTTTGTACCTTGTCCACTGGAGCAATAATACTATCGCCAACTTTCTCAGCCCTAGCCCCGGGACACCAACTTTTATGACAATACCCCGCACCTCGCTAGACTTGTAATTAGTTCACTCTGTAGCTACTTACAACCAGGTAGTAATTGTCTAATTATCCGCACGTTCTGTGCGACTTGAACGTCATTTTGCCCCTGCAGACCCGAGTTAAAAGTATATCTCTGCTAGGCTCCTCTGTATGCTGTACATTTGTGTGTAACATTCTTTTAATAGAAACTAGCGGGTTATACTTGCTCCGAGGCATCTGAATACGGTTTAGTCTTAGGGTTGAAGATGACTCTGCAGTTTTGCAATCCGCTGAAGAGTACCAAAGTACGCAGGATTGGGCGTAGGTCTAGAACAGTCGGCGACACTGCCTTGGTTTGACTCTACAAAGTACTCCAGAGTCTGGTTAACCTCGGTTAAAACCCAAGTCTGCATGGAGTCTCGCCGGTAATAGTCCGTCCCATTAACTGTTAGAGATTATTAAATTTTCCCTAGTATCTATCTCCTGTCCTGACGACTCTCTTACTAATACCTGTCCTACCATACTACTCAGCTACTACGGAGTACTCTGTACTTGCACGCGGCCACTACTATCTTATGCTGATAGTTAAATCAGTTCTTTTTGTAATGATCTGATAGCATCTATTCAATATACCGAAGATATATAAATGTAGTAGAAGATACTCAATATACGGTATATTAGGATGTGCATGACAGGGTATAATTTATAGTATTCTTAATGTCACTACCATCGACTGACTCTGGAGTAAACAATATATATTCCTTTTTTCTAGACACCATGACTGCTTTACATACTACCAAGTAGCTAAACTTAAAGTAATGAATTAAACTACCTGCCACGTAATGCGTCTCAAGATAGAGGACGGCTATGCAGATCTGCACCCACAGCGGAGACCCGAAACAATGATATTCGTCATGCCAGCAGTTTAGAGCCCCTTAACGCCGAGTATAAGAGGAGCTCTACCTTGCAATAATATTTTCTCCTTGATCTTTTGTATTTGACATCTGACACCCACCATGTACTCCCTTCTCACCCTGCTGTGCGCCGTGGGCGCCCTGGCGGCCGAACTGAACACCACAACGGTCTACCAGTTCTCCTCGAACGACACATGGCTGGAGAATCTGGCGGTGCGGTCCAACGGCATCATCCTCACGACGGAAATCGGCCCCCCCGCAAGTCTGCTGGCGTTTGATCCGCGCGAAGAGACCCCCCAGAAGGTGGTTCTGCACACCTTCGACTCCGTTCTCGGCCTCTCCGGCATCACCGAGGCAGCCCCCGATGTGTTCTACATCACCGGCGCCAACACCACGGCCGACAACATCTCGGACCCGCCGGCGAACGCGACCCATGTGTGGCGGGTGGACTTTACGGGCAACAACGAGAACCAGCCCGAGATCAGCCTGATTGCTCGGCCGACGGCCCCGACGGGGTTCAACGGGCTGGCCGCGTTCAACGAGAGCATCATCCTCGCGACGGCGACGTACCAGGAGGCCATCTTTGCGGTGGACACGACGACGGGCGAGACGTGGGAGGCCATCACCAACGACATGATGAGTTCCATCAACGGGATCAAAGTGCGCGACGGATACGTGTATTGGACTGCTGGCGCTGACTTCTGCCGCGCAAAACTGTACCCGAACGTCACTGCCGGGGCGCCGCAGCTGATCGCGCAGGGGATCGCCTTTGACGACTTTGCTCTGGCGCCGGATGGGTTCGGAAACACCACAGACAGAATGTATGCGTATCTGGCCACGGCGGCGGAAAACACCGTCATGCAAGTCAGCTTCGATCTGGACGGAGGGAACAACCAGTCGGTGGTGATTGCCGGCAACCTCGACTCGATCGAGATCGCGGAACCGACGGCCTGTGCCTTTGGACGGGGTGAGGGCGAGTTTGACCACTTGTACATCACCACGGGGGGTGGCAGCGGCGTCAATGTCGATGTCAACGGGGTGGACACTGCTGTTGGGGCTCAGCTATTGGAGATCACTCTGTAATCCCTTTTCTTCTTATCGATTATCCATTCTCTTATATTATCAATCATCGATAGCTCATATCTGGCACAGCTAGACGGCTTACAATATAGCTAGCAGTTGAGATACTGTGTCCTGACAGGATTAAGTTATTTTGCATTAAATTACGTTATATCAGCTCATACTCATGATAATTAAAAGTCCTGGTCCTCCCAGTTGCCATCAGACGCAGCCGGGCTCTTGCCATCGTAGTACTCGCTGCAGGGGGCATAGGCGCACACGTCGTCCGAGGCACTGCGCAGCTGGCCAAAGGGGCGCCACCACTGATCCCAGCCCTCCTCGCTGCCGTCCGGCTGGGCGATGGTGCTCAGGTTCCAGTTCCTCTCCAGAGTGACCACCTGGGTGAAATCTAAGCCAGTCAGTCAGTAGATATAAATATAAATATTCGATACTTGGTTCTGGGGAATTACGGTTGTAGTAGGTCTGGTCAACGCAGTCGTAGCACTTGATGGTGTCGTTGCCCAGGATGACCGTGTAGATGGAGTTGTCCAGACCGAAGTTGTCATTAATATAGATGTCTACCCATTAGCATGAAGATCAGCATAATGATATAGACGTAAAGCAGCTTACTGTTTTCGTCAAACGTAATCAGAATCATGGTGTTCTTCATGAACTCCTTGTTGAGCAGCATGGTGTCGACGAGGTACTGCACATCCTTGGCCGCAAAGGAGATGTTGGTGTTGTGTGCGTCGTTGTCCAGGTTGGGCGTGTAGAACATGTACATGGGGGCATCGGCGCCCAGAGCCACGTCTTTGGCGAAGTGTTCCTCGGCGTTGACGATGTTCTGGCAACGGGACTTGTTGTTGCGGATGTTGTCAAACGACATGAAGGGGTTGTGTTTGCTATACGGTTCAGTATGAGGACTTTCGAAAAGTGTCAACGTCTTTGGATATCCTACCGGACGTAGAGAGTCGTGTCGTTCTCGGTCAGAGGGTTGCAGTCACCTCCCTCCAGAGGCGTGTATCCCTCCATGTAGGCCCTCCAGGTGATGCCGGCGGGCTCGAAGAGATCGATGATGCTATCCTGAGTGGTGTTGTGGTCCGCATCATCAAACACTCCACCAGCAATGGTGTTGGAGATCATGGTGATGTAGTTGGGCTGATCATGTCAGTTTATACTTGGCAGGAGGGGTGAATAATGATAATTGAAATACCTGGGAGGGGTGAGTGGTGCCTATGATGAGTTAGAAACACAAGAACCATATACTCAACTGAATACCCAGGCTGAACGTACCGTGGTAACCACCCAGGGTCATGCCCATGTTGGTCAGGTTGAGGAAATACGGATCACCAAAGGTGACGTCCTTGTTGGTGTTCTCGAGAACAATGACCACAAAGCCTGGAATTCCAGTTAGTGAATCCATTCAAGCATCACTCGTTGAGATGGAGGATAACCATACGGTCAAACCATTTGCCCTTGGCAGGGGTAGGGCCGGAGCGCTTGAATGGCATGGCCGCCGCGAGGGACAGACCAGCCAGAGCCAGACCAGCAGAGAGCTTCATCTTGACAGTTCAGTGCCTTTGATTGATGAGAGAGTGCTGGAGTGCTGGAGTGCTGGAGTTCTGTTCTGCTCATGCTCCCGCAGATGCTCCCCTCTTTATATACCCTGATCTTCTATACTCTAACCTGCAGTGCTCTCTGCGTCTAGAATGACAATCCTTCCATCCGGTGTCTCCACTTAGCCGCTGTTCCTTCCATTATCACCATCAACTATCACGATCAACTACTACTATTTAGTTCGGCCCGCTGCTGTTTTTGGAAGGGTGGAGCCCACGTGCTCGAATGCTGCGCCGGGTGTCGGTCCGGCTCTGCGCCGAGGTGGGTCTGTGGCTGCGCTACCAGTGGAGATGGGGAAAGCTTACCTGCCCATTTGACAGCCAAGAATCAGGCACATGGCTGGTCCCTTGGGTTGTATCCTTGTTTACTACTAATATGTCTCTTCTAATTGGAGTATTCCAGAGACAGGAGATACCTCAGAGTATGTGGTTCTATATGACTCCTATACTGAGAAAAAAAGATGATAGGGATCATGGAAGTGATAATAGTTGTAAATCAGGATCTTATACTACATATATACTATACCATACCTCAAGAGAATGATAAATAGTCATGCCATGGGATGGAGAAGAAGTGAGGCGTCGGCCCACTGGCCCACTGTCGGACCACGCGGCTCGGTTGAAAACTCTGATTCAGCCTGCTTACTCGTGATAGTATCTACCATTCACTCAATAGCTGCACTCGATCCTGCCATGTGTCTGGGTTGTTCTCTATTATACTGTCCTTTCATATCCTATGATTTCCGTTGAGCTCCTATGATGTCCTGGGATACACTGGATTTACTTTCATGTCTCCTCTTATCTCTATTCGAGTGCTTCAATATAGCATGTGAGTATTATCCAGGTACGAAATAGTACCAGTTATGGAGTAAGAGTGGATTAGCCGATTCCGACTCCCGTGTCTTGGCACCGGGGACCAATTAAATTACAGAGATAACTAATGACTCCTTACTGGAGTAGGTAGTGATTATCGGTACTAAGTACAGATCCTCCATATATTGGCAAATAAAGATAGGAGTAGTGAAGACTCCTTATCATATATATGCTCTATTGCGGATGAAGTGGATTAACTATTGTTGGACTCTGGATTCAGACAAAGTTCTCTGCATCAGCTACAAACCTTTTTATAATCCATGCCTCTACGGAGTAGATCCCTGGAAATTCTGGCGTTCGTATATTAGGCTGATATTAAATAAGCCTGCATTAAGTCATGTCCCTTGCATTTAGTAGCAAACTCGCAGGATTCCGTCAGTTCCGACCGCGACATCGCTCGGGGTCAAACCGATCCCCCGGCCGCGACCCTTCGGGACGGAATATGCATGAAAGGCTGTATATTTCTGATAAGACTTTTGAAACCGAGTAACTTATAATTCAATTGATCCGATTGCTGATAAAAGCTTAATCTATTGTCTATATTTTATAGAGTACCCCTGCAGAGCTCATCTCCTGATTGCCCAGCTCTTCCCTGCGGTTATCCCCCAAAATACTGGGGACCAGGCCGTTCGAGAATCAGGTCACCATATAGTTTATTTGATCCAACGGTAATCTCATAGGGCCATCAAAAAGGTACACAGGTGGGGTGTAGACCCTTGACAAGGAATCGGTTCCTGCCACTCTTCAACCATTTGACTTCCAAGGAATCCTGGTGGCTGATACTATGTCGCTCTAACTCTATCAGTATAAAGCTGTCCTACCAGTTTATACTTGATGCTACAGAGGGGATACGGCTATTCAGTTCTAACATAAGATCTAACTACTCTGTCACCCATTGACCTTAACCATATTTATTCATTTCTATTGACCTTGCCTATTATTTGGTATTATTAGGGTGTAGTCTAGATTATGTTGAAGGTACTGTATAGGTAGTGGTCAGCTGATATCAGCTCACTGACCAGTGACCACCTGAGGCCTTACTGTCACCTTCTAAAATAGTTATCTAGTGGAATATTATATCTATAATTCTTAACAGCTCATGGAGTACATCAACTATCTAGGCTATCTGAACAATAATAGGCCTTTGGGACATAACTAAAAGTCCTTTGTATTCACTCTAGGCTTTACACTTTAAAATAGAATCAGCTTTCAAGGCATCAGTTTCCCACACTGTTTATAATTTCAAGTTTAACAGATTACAGGCCTTGATATGCCAAAACCCATCTAGTTAGAGTTTAATATGCTGTCGTACTTGGCTCCATACAGGTGTCATTCCCTGATTTAGAGCCAGAAAGATTATAACGCAGAGTCTGGTGTTGGTCTCAATTGCTATTGTCCCTAATGGGATTTTTCTATGAGTCCATTCCTCGCTCGTAGGGAAGAATCAATTGTTAGGATGTATTAATTACACTGGGCTTTGTAAGTGTCAAAGAACATACTGATGTATTGATGCATCCTCCCGCTCAAACAATCGGCATATGACTGTTGCCTATCCTAGAGATGCCTATAAAAAGGACTTGTATTCCCGTGTTTATGTAGATACTCTCTGGCATCACTGATGATGATTGTTCTATAGGGTAGCTCATTTCCAGGGTGAGCTGCATTCTATAGAGAAAGACATAGCTTGAATATTCATAAGGAAATATCTATATTTCAGGATATATGATACTAAGCTAAATGTAGTTCTGTACACATTGCTAATCCCATTGTCAAAAAAAAGTGACTGTTCCATAGTATATAATGTGTAAAGGTCGTGACTGAGGAGCTGCCGTTTCCATAGCCTGATTAGTTCCCGGGCATTTGGACTGGGAGTCCTTACATGGCTAATTCCAAAATAGACTGGGATATTCCTCTTCTCCCTGCTTGGATACCACCAAGTAATGATCAACAGCAGCTGGAGCATCTACTAGTGCTGACGCCTCATTGCTTATCTTGAATCATTGGGTCAAAGGAGCGTCTACCTAGACTCTTTTTTACTCGTGGATTGGTTGTGTGTGGCATCATATGTCCAAGAGTGGACTAGAAATCACAAATTTGCCTCTTGAATACCACCTTATACCTATACAGGTCCATCGTGGCAAGTTCTTTGATGTCATTCTACTTATCACCTTGTGGCGAGGCCTTGTCTCAGTGGCAATCTCACATTATTTGGTCATTTTGAGTAATCATTGAGCAAACATTGATTAGGTATGAGTTGAGTTTCTGACAGCGCCACACCCGATGAGAACCGCCGGAAGTCCGTGGGATCCTGGTAATCTTGGGAACCAATTGATAAGTTTTGCATCCATCATTTGCATACTCCCGACACTTTATCAGTTCATGTAACCTTGATCTAGAAGCAGAACAATGTGACGTACTCTATGCATGTACTAGACACCAATCAAGTGTTCATACACAAGGAGTGGTATGCTGCATCAAAAACAGAGCTTCTAGTGGCTGTTGGTTTTATCAGAACCCAAGCCTCCAATGGAAAATTGCGCCATGTTGGTTATTGACTTGCTCGCCCTAGGCTAATACCTGCTAAAATGGCGTACAAATCCTGGGCCGGCCGGACGTCCGTTCCAACGCGGAGAAGTACTACATAGGGGGTCTATTCCATATCACATGCTTCTATTCCACCACCCCACCCTCACCAATAACAGCATTGATGTTATAAATGGCTCTAATTGATAGGTGATTTATTAATGTGTAGCTAATAAAATTATACCCGGGGAAACCGGCCCTCTTCTCATCATGTAGATAGCATAGATAGAGTAGACAGAGGAGGGCTATCAGTGCTGAATAATAGAATTTTGATGATTTATTCACAAATTCCATCTGACAGGGGACAAGGTACTTCCAGTTGTTACCGAGGAAAATAGACGGGCTGGGACCAACAATTCCTTTGCATCTCATTAGTCCATCGGAGGTACGTGGGAGCTCCGGCCCTGTTCGTCCCATACATTGGCTGCGTCTCCGCATTCCTGAATAGTGGGGCGCAGATAACGGACATGGGTGTTGACCATACGATTGGGCCGTTTATTCTGTAAAATGAGTAGGGGTACACATGTCGGAGGTTACTGTCTCTGTGCTTCGTATTGCCTTCTCGTCTACAGGCTTCAATAAAAAAAAAAGATGTGTATTTTATCCTACTAGAAACCCATTATTCCAGTCTGTTCCGCTATATATTTTATTCTCTTCCTGTACGTAACTTGTGACCTCGCTTATCCTGGACAGTTCAAGATAGTTCGCCTATCTATCTTTCGTTGACAGCCACGCCAAGAGATAAGGTTCAACCGTTCTGATTCGTGGATTTGGACATGGTGAGACCCATCGCCATCCTGTGCCTTGCTCTAGCCTACAGGAATAGACCAAATTTATTGTAGTCCATTCAGATTAGGCTTGGTCCTTGTTCTCCGTAGTAGATACCATGTATGGAGTAGTTCACACCCCCCCCCCTCTCCGCAACGTGGCGAGCCAGGCTATCTCACTAGCCGCGTACGCCGTCCTCCTACATTTGGAGTAGGGTGGTATTTTCGTATCTGGGCGATAACGACTAGTCGGTCAGATGAGGTGCGCTCTTCCCTCCTTGCCACAGGAGGTAATCGTTTAGTACTTTGGGGGGAGGATTTGTATAAAGGTAGACCGAATTAAAACCACCCCCCCCCCCCTCTTCCCTGAGGGGTCTTCTTTTCTTTTCTATCAACATCCTTCCTTTTCCTCTTTCCCTTCATTTCCCACCACCACCACCACTAACCATGGCGGACAGTGTGGATGAAAGCCCGGTCTCGACCCCTGTGGTCGAGGTGACCAAAACGGGAGCCACCGTCTTGGACGAGAAGCTGCCGGACTTGCATGACGTCGAGGTTGCTCCGGGGTTTGTCGCCCAGAAGGACTTTGAGGGCCATTACAAGGACGTGCCTCTGGGAGAGGGCATTGTTCCCGACGACAACGACGAGTTCATCGATCCCCGCCTGCACGACTATCCCATTCCTCTCGTGGCCAAGACCGTCGATCTGCGGAACGACCCAACGTGAGTTCTTTGGTCCAATCAGATTATGTTGTTTGTCATGGTCACGTGGTATTATTTAATGTCATGTGACACAACATCACGTGATGTCATATAATATCACATGACCATAATATCACATGACATCACATGACTCCTTTCTGACGTTTTCACAGCGAACCGATCCTCACCTTCCGCTTCTGGGTTCTTTCCACCTTCTGGGTCTTCGTCGGCTGTGCCCTGTCGACCTTTTATTTCTTCAAGCCATACTACAACACCATCACCAGCTATGCCGTGCAGTTGCTGGCCTGGGGCATGGGCGACGCCATGGCCCGTTATCTGCCCAAGCGCCAGTTCAACTGGTTTGGATGGAAGTGGTCGATGAACCCGGGCCCCTGGAACGCCAAAGAGCACGCTCTTATTGTTGTTGCCTACTGGGGGAGTGTACGTGCCTTTTATCTCTCTCTCTCTCTCTCTCGGTATCAAAACTAAGGATTAGTGCTATACGGCCATCGGAATGGGCCCCCTGTCCGCCATTGAACTGTACTACGGCGAGAAGCTGAATGCCGGATGGTCCATGTTCTTCCTGCTGGCCTCGCAGATGATCGGATACGGCTTTGCTGGCCTCTTCCGTGACATCCTCGTCCGGCCGCCCAAGATGTACTATCCGGGAGTCCTGCCCAACGTGGCGCTGTTCAACGCGATGCACCGCAATCCGTCTGCCACCAAGAAGGCCCTCAAGTACTTTGCCATTGTGGCCGCCGTCACATTCACCTATGAATGGATCCCCGAGCTCTTCTTCCCCTTGCTGGGCTCTCTCCCACTTGTTTGCTGGTTTGGCCATGGCAACTGGAAGGCCTTCATCATGGGATCGGGCTACTACGGATTTGTGCGTCCCTTTATCCATTTCGTCTATATTTCCGTTCTAATATCAATAGGGCGTCTTGGATTTCTCGCTCGATTGGAACTACATCACCTTCATGTATCCATACTACACGCCTCTGTGGTCGAGTCTGAACCAGTGTGCCTTTTGCCTGTTCTGCCTCTGGATCCTGTATCCGGCCATCTACTTCAGCAACACGATGAACGCGCAGAACTTTGCTCCGATGGACACCAACACGTACACGATCAACGGCAGCACCTACGACGTGTCGGCCATTGTCGGCAGCAACAACGAGGTCAACCGCACCGCGCTGGCCATCTACGGCGGCCCCTACTGGGCGCCCTCGTACGTCTTCAACTGGTTCTGGACCTTTGCCGCCCTGGGGGCCTCGCTGGCCTACGCCATCCTGTGGTACGGCAAGTCGGCCGTCGAGGACTTCAAGATGGCCTGGAACAACAAGCGCAGCGACTACGATGACCCCTACCTCAAGCTGATGTCTTTCCAGAAGCGTGTCCCGCACTGGTGGTACATGGCCCTGCTGGTGCCGTGTGCCGTCATCGCCATCGCCCAGGGCTACGAGGGCAACATGAAGCTGTCCGCCTGGGGCTTGGTTGTCATCTGTCTGTTTTCCTTCATCTTCACCTGGCCGAACGGGATCCTGTGGGCGGTGGCCAACACGCAGGTGGGTATGGGCTCCTTCAGTGATCTGCTGGCCGGCATCATGTTCCCGGGCAAGCCCACTGCCGTGCTGGCCGCCTACACGTACGGCTACTGCGTGCTGGAACAGAACCTGAACCTGATCTCCGACTACAAGTTCGGCTTCTACATGAAGATCCCCGAGCGCGAGATGTTCTGGGGCCAGGTCTGGGGCACCCTGTTGGGCCCGTTCATCAACTACGGCTTCATGCAGCTGATCGTCGACCGCGAACGGCCGTTCCTGATCGGCCAGCGCTCCTCCGAGGCGTGGGACGCGGTGCAGACGCGTGTCTACTATTCCAACTCGATCATCTGGGGCATCCTGGGCCCCAAGGAGTTCTTCAACGAACGCTATCCATGGGTCTACTATGCCTTCCTCATCGGCCCGGCCTCGGTCTTCCTTGTCTGGCTCGTGCAGAAGCGCATGCCCAAATGGGACCTCGAGAAGTGGTTCAACCCGACCCTGCTCTTCTACGGAGGCATGCTCTTCCCGGCCTACGAGACCGTCAACTTCTTCACCTCCATGCTGGCCTGTATCCTCTTCATGGGCATTCTCCCGCGCTATGCCCCGGTCTGGTGGAGAAAGTATAACTATCTCACCGGCGTCGGTCTCGACTGCGGCACCCAACTCATGACTCTGGTAAGTATATACATTTATATATATATATAAATTCCTTTCTCTCAATTCAAGCACACGCTAATCATCACAGGTCTGCATCTTCGTCGTCAACCTGCCCAACCTCAGCTTCCCCTCGTGGTGGGGGAACGACGCCAACGCGTATGACAGATGTTTCCCTCCTGCAGATCTACCTCCATATGCCTTGAACTAGTAGCATAATTATCTCAATTCTCAATTCTAATTCAATCCTATCCTATTCTTATGAAGTCTGCTTTCTGCAAAACCCTCGACGCTGGCTGCTCTCTGCACTCGAGTGAGACAGACGACGGCCACGGCAGGACAAGAGACGGACCAGGGGCATCAATGTGGGCAGCGAGGCGCAGATGATGGCCACCGCGCATTCAATCACCGACCAGACCGTCGCTGGCGCGATGGTTCCTATCGTCATTACATTAATTACTCTCTGTATATAATATGGCCTATGACTTACCTGATACGTTTCGAGTGGAATATGCGAATAGAGTAGTGAACCGATAGAGACTGACTCCGACGACACTAGATCAATCAATATATATAACCATGTCTATGTAACTATGCTGACGTACAAAGCACCGAGGAGAAAAATACTAATGATGGATAGGCGGTACAGAATGCTGCCGTGGAGCTGCCAACAGATCCGCACCGGTAAGGCAAGGATAGCAAGATCGGTCAGGATATTGGGCAGAGCAACACAGTAGAAGCCGATCTTCAGCTGGATGCAGTGTCCTGGTCCCTGTTCGCGATCGACGGCTTCCCATGCCTTGGCGACGGGCGTGCACTGAAAGATGGCCGCGGGGATAAACGCCAGCGCCCAGGCGAGGGCGACACTGGCGCAGATGAGAGCGCCGATCCGGAAGAAGCGAGACACGTCGGTGAAGATGCGGCGGTACAGCGCCAGGATGGAGAGTTTGATGAGGAGCAGGTTGAGCACGTAGAAGATCTCGAAGATGTAGAGGAGCTGTAAGACGTTAAGAGCAGAAATATAACCTGAATGGAATTGATAAGAGTATGAGTATCTAGATACCTTGCGGACCATGAGGGCGTTGTGAGAAGAAAGATGGGCTGTGTCCTGTCCCAGTCCATAATGGATCACTGATGGTCAGTATAGAATATAGACTGTGCATTTATATACATACTGGCAAGACATATTCCGGAGATGATACATAGTAGAATCTGTAGCTTATTAACACTGTTCATAACTAGCAATGACTTGCCGTACTAAGCTGGCAATAATCAGATAATCGTCTGCTCCCAGACTGAGCCGGCGCACTCGTCGAGCCACAAAGCGCAGGCCCGTGAAGAACCAGGCGAGGACAACGACGGTGATGACGCTGGCTCGCAGCTGGCTAGCTGTCATTGTACATTTTGGAATATAGCAAGGTGGGAGGAATTCAAGGTGGGGAATGAAGTTATTCAAACCTGTCAAAGTATATTTAATCAATGATGTAATAGAGTTAATTACCAACTATAAAAAATTATGAGACATTTTTTAATATTTATATATTTTAATCATTCTTTCTATATATAGAGTAGATAGAAAATGTGTATAGTATATACTTTTTATATCTTAATTAGGGAGTATTATTAGAGATGTCAGAGTTACTTGAAGTATGAATAGAGTAATATGATAGATTCTAATTATAGGTGTATAAAGTACAGCTGTTGTAAGCGGGGTAATCATGTGATGCAGCTGCACCTTATCTTCTGTCCTGCTCTGTTGCCTTAAAGAATATCCATCTATTCATATCTGATCCTAATGTCGACTGAACCTCTTCTCCCCTCCTACAGTACGATCGATCAGCAGCAGCAGTTCTATCGAACTCGCTTGCAACCTGAAAGTGAAGAGGCGACGCCCACATCGCTGCCGTGGTTGGTGAGCGCCGTCGTCTTCCTGGGGACAGCCAGCATCACCACCTTTTGGGCCTCCAGAAGCCCTCCAGAGACGGTATTCATCATATTCCATCATCATCATCATCATCATCATCATCTATATATCTACATCACATCTAACAAGACTGCTGCTATAGCCTCCTACGTCTGCTCCCATCCTCCCCTACTATGCAACGCTCTGCCTTCTTATCGCCCTGTGCTGGTGGATCGGATACCTGATTGCATTCGCTTACAAGCGACAAGGTCCCCCAGCTGCCCATCGCAAGACCATCATCTGCGTCTCGGTGCTGGGCAAGGGGCTGCTGGGTGTGGCCCATTTCGGCATCCGGCAGGGCTATGAATGGGCGTATCCCGGGTTGCCACACCCAAACTGGTTGATTATGTTTCTTGCTATCCAGGCTTGGTATGACTGTGCTTTCTTCTTTATCTGCTCTAGTATGTGAGAGGTAGATACTTGAAGGATAGGAAACAATCAGACAGTTCTATGACTATAATTTCAGGATTTCTTAACATTATATCATTATAAATCAGGCAGGTAGACTATCTAGCCATTAACTTCAAGCTGATCAATGATACTAGTAATGATCTTAATAAATCCAATCCAATAATTCTTTGACTGTCCTTTCACCTGTCTTTTAGAAGAACCGGAATTCTCTCTGCGCGTCGAGCACCGCAGTGCAGTTCGCTTCTTCCACCTGGGGATAGAGTGGCTATTCATAATCAGTTGGTAGGTGGAGTCGTCGAGTGATGAGAGAGGACGTCTCATGGCGACATAAACCAGCCGGAATGTAACATTCTCCTCTTGTAAAGACTGGACTTGTAAATATTAGACAAGAAACGAGCCAAAGTCAAGGGTGCTATACCTAGACGCTTATATCCACATAGACAATTGTTGCACTTCTCCCTAATTTCGCCAGGACGCCAGATGAAGCACAAGAATGTCCATCCCGTTGCATGGGTATCAAGATAGATCACTCTTGCAAGACAGTTAGGAATGAGGCAGAGACTTTGGTATTATGAAATCGGATGATTTCTCGATTGCCATACAAAAGAAAGATATACTGAGGAAGACTGACAGGATGGAAGGGGAGAGGAAGGGGTCCTTAAATAGTAGCTACAGCAAGTGAATAAGCTGAGGAGAGGCTTCAGAATGTTACCAGTAGAAGTGAATATAAGACTATCTTTTTACTTTACAACATTTATCTGTCTAGTTAATAGATTTATAAACCCTGATTTTATTAAGTATTATTTCCTAGTGAATAGATTTGCTTTTCTCTCTTATTATTACCTTCAGTATAATAGAACAATAGACTTATTGGTCTAAGATTAGAGGACTCTTAGATCAATATCTGTTCTATATATAAAGATAATTAACTTATATTATTCAACTACTTTGGATATCTATTTACCACTGTTTATTCTAAGTCTTATATTTAGTCAGAATGACTTGAGTGGCAAGAACTCAGTCTAAAAACGGCCAACTGGTAAAGCATGCATAAAGAGGACCACCCAATAAACCCACAATCAATCAAAAGCTACTATCGAATGTCCACAATTATCAGAAACCAACCTGTGGGAGAAACGGGCGATGAGCTGTTCCAACTGATGCATCCCGACGGACAGAGCAGCATCCGGGCTCTTTCAGTTCTACAACGGCGTGTACAGAAGCTACGGCGTGCTGGTTGGTCTGCGCGCAATGTTTGACGACGGGAGCATCGTCCCTGCGGGCCAATCCACCGACTCTGGAGTCCATTGCAGCTCCTGTTCCTCTTCCACCTTCACCTTCAAGGAAGACACGGTGCTGTATTCCGGGGAGCGGGTGGAGGATATCCGACTCGTCACGACGGAGGGCAAGATGGGAAGATTCCCTCGCTGGGAATTGTATTTCGATAATAATCATACAGCTATATATGAAAGGTAGAGCAAGAGTAACAGTAGTAGTAGTATAGTTTGCCTGAGGCAACAGTCATGTGACTGAATACGAGTCTCACTGTCTCACCAACGCAGTCATCATCAAGAGATCAACGCATCATCAAGAGATCAACGCATCATCAAGAGATCAACGCAGTCATCAGATAACAGCACCACCAGCATGGGAATCATCAAGAAAATCATCGGCGGCGGCCTTGGCTTCACTTCCGAGGCGATCCACGCCGCTCGCTCGCGTTCAGGAGAGCCAGCGAGTAGAGGTGACGAGAAAGTGGAAGATGACGATAAAGACGAAGAGGACAAAGATGACGATGAAGATGAAGAGAACGAGAATGAATCAGCGGAAGAAGGATTCGCCCACGACGAGGCCGCCTGGGAACTTGACGAGATGGTCGAGCGCGTGGCCCCCCCGTCCTACGAAGAGGCGGCCGTCAGCAGCGGCTCCGACTCGGAGGAGACGAAGCTGAAGAAGCAGGAGGAGATGCTGCAGCGGCTGCTCCGTCTGGCTGGGCCTGTTCCTGTCCCTCTCCAGGCGTCGCTGCCCTGCCCGGTGATTATCCCCCAGCGCCGACCGAGACAGAAAGACCGTGGCTTCGTGAGGGCGTATGCGCCTGTTCTGGACGATGTGGGCGTCAGCCAGGAGGTTTTTCTCCAGTTCCTGACCGACTGGGACGTAGCTAGAAGGGTATTCTCCCTTTTCTTTATTCGTTCAATCTTCTTAGCCATCTATTCCCCCTTCTTCATTCGTTCAATCCTCTAATCAACTAGGCATCTCCGTGGATCGACGTGGTGTACGTTGCCGCCGGCGTGGTGGGATTCGTGCCCGAGGCCGCGACACAGATCGTCAGCATCGTCGTGCAGGTTGTAGCGGGCACAGCAAAGGAACTGCAGTCTCGACAGCGCGGCAACACCTTTCTCGACCGGGTGAACCAGGAGCTGTTCATGCCGCGCGGGCTCTACGCGATGGTGATGGCGTTCAAGGACGACGTGTCCGGCCAGCAGCGCGGGCTGCTGAGCAACCTCTCCAAGAGGATCGGCCAAACCATCTTCTCGGCGGAGCGGCTCGACATCAACCAGACGGCCGCCAAGTACAGCAAGCCCGCGGATCCGGAAATGTCTCGCCTGCGCCGGGGGTTGAAGGACTTCCGTCTCACCAGCGGCGAGACCCACGGCGAGATCGAGCTGCCCGAAGCTGCGCCGCTCGTGTTTCCCGAGCTCGACCGGGCGGCCGTTCGCGATCTCAACCAGGGCGAGCAGGAGGAGAAGAGCATGCGCGAGAAATGGAGCAGCGCAGGCTCTTGGGTGCAAGACTATCTTGACCGACGGGCACAAGCTTTCTACGTAAACATACTCACTACACGTTATACGTCTATACTGAATACTGACGATACTAGGAAGCCGAACATCAAGGATCCTCCCTGTCGACAACAGCTGAGCAACGCGCCCCCATGAAATCCCGCTTCAACGACCCCAACCACCCGGCCAACAGCGGCTCCCTGATCGCCCTGCTTACGGGGGGCGCCGTTGCGCCGTCTCGCCGCCGCCGCGCCGCCAAACAGGAGCGCCGGGCAGCGCGCCGGGAGGAGCGCGATGCCCGGCGAGTTGCTCGCGGACGGGCGCCCCGGGGGCCTCGTGTGCCCCGGGGGAAGAAGCAGGGGCTTATCAGGAAGATCTTGACGCAGGATGTGCTGTATTTGCTGGTGGTCAACCTGCCCACGGACGAGCAGGTGGCCACTTCGGTGGAACAATTGGAGGAGATGATGGGCAAGACTGAGTATTAGTTAGTATCCATTAACTAGTTTAAGTGAGTCTAGTAGTATTAAGTATTCATACTTGATCTTGTTTGTTTCTAGTACTTATTTGCTATCTATTTATTATATTTCTCTTATTATCTATTCTCTTATTATATTGTCTTCTCTATTTCTCTTATTTTCTATTATATTGTCTTTTATTTCTCAGATTCCACTTTTATGTCTACTTGTTATTCTCATTATGAGGATAAAGGATTACTCTGCCAAATAAGCCACTATATTCAGTGGTTGTAAGACAAGTATTTATTTCTATCATTCACTCTCTTTTCTTTTTTCCACTCTTATTTTATACATCATCACCATGGCCCAAATTATGCCACTGATTCCTCTCTGCACTCGGCGGACAAGATCCCTGTCTGCTCTCCTCAGCTAATGCCGTGCTGAATTAGTCAATATCCTTTAAACCTCCTCCATACGATATATGTGTTATTATTATAAGACTGGCTGTATGGACACCACTAGAAGCTTAAAGAATAGATATCCATATATTGCTAAACAGCTAGGTATCTTCATCTGTGCCAGTTATAATGTTAGGTTCAAATCATCTAAAAAGTGAAGCCTTATAAGTCCCCGCTCTTTAGTACCAATAAACACATGATTATCATGAAAACAGTAGGGTTCTTTCCACTCCACCCTGTAGTCAAAAGGGAGGTAGAGGATCCTCTCCCCGTTCCGAATCAACCAGGCCCCATCCTTGATATCATAACATACGGCTGGCTGACGTCCCAGCGGCAAGGAATCAATAGCATCGACATAGCTCCAGTGGCATTCTATATTCCTCACCAGTTGTCCTGTGCTGGCGTTGAATAAGGCAACCCCAGTACTATATCCAACGGCGAGCATGGCGTTCTCCTGGTTGGGGTGGAAGGCAAGGCTGTAGATCCCCCAGTATTCATGATTAATCACTAGTTCCTCCTTCTCCGTGAAAACATCAAAAACGCAGATCTCGTATGCAAAGGCAGCGGCCAATCTTTTGCCGTCCCGAGAAACCGCTATTTTCCAAACTTCTCCTTCGATACAGCGTTCCCATTCCGCAGGTGATATTGGCCCAGTCTGACAAGAATGGTCATAATCGGACGTTGATGATGAGAATTCCTCTGCTAACTTCGCAATACTCCACACTTTGATGATACTGCCCTCATCAAAGATATCATCAATAGAGCCAATATAAGTCAGGCTATCCTGGGAGAACGCAATACCTCTTGCGATTCCCATATATCCTCGAAACCGGCTCACCACTGCGCCAGTGGCTGTATCCCAAATCTGGATCATTCCTTTGTCGCTTCCTGCGGCCAGCATGGTGCCATCAGGTGAAAGTGCCATACTGTAAACAGGAAACTGTACATCAATTCCTCTCCCCTCGCCAATTCTCCATGCTGCCAACGTCTCATTAGAGTATTGAATTCCGATGGTCGCTGCGTTTGCGGAAACCACGATCTTCAATACCGTCTGGCGGGGGGTTAAATGTATTGGCGCCTCTTTTGAGTCTGCCAGCTTCCTTATGATAATAGATCCATCACTGCTACCTGTCACAATGCGGTCATCTGGAAGAATGTTGATACCCCAGATGTACTGTGAATAGTCCGGTGAATAGCTTTGAAATGCTTGCATAATATTCCCCGATTGAATATCCAGTACCTCAACAGTGGTGCTTAAAGACAAGGACACCAGCTTGATATCATCGGGCGAAAAGATGATGTCGATAATATCATCGCCCCGATCACCGGAGAGAAGATGACGGTTTACCTTCCTTGTGGCTGTGTCCCACAAGAGGAGAGTGCCATCTTGGTGTCCAGACGCGAGTTTGGAGCCGTCAGATGAGAGCTTGATGACATTGGGGTCCGAGTGAGTGTATTCAGAGTCGCAAGTCCATTGATCCAGAGGGACCAGACCAGACTTTTGCTCTGCCACATGCCAAATATAGATGGACATTTCAAGCACACTCCACGCCGCTACAAACGCGCCATTTTGAGAAATGGTGACTTTTGAGGGTTCAGTGCTAGACCCAGTGACAAGTTCAAGTGTCTTTTCGGATGCCAGATCCACCAAGAATATTTTCCCTCGGTTTGGGTCATCGAAAGACGAAAGGACCATTGTACCGTTGCGCGCAAAAGCCACATGATCAAACCTATAAGCTTCAAACCTCCCCTTATTGCTGCGGAACTGTTGCAAGATCTTCCCGGTGGTGAGGTCCCATTGTGAAATATCACCATTTCGATGGAGGGTTGCCAGTCGACTGTCTCTTTCCAGAAATTCAGCGGCCACCACATCTTCAAGCCTCATTCTTTGGCGTCCACTCGCTGTCTCCCTTAGTATCATGTCATTCCACAAACCGATTGAGCAAGGAGACTACCATCATCAGAGACCACAAAAGCAATAACATGTCTATCGGTCGGCCAGGATTGATCGATTGGGCTCCAGTCATCATCCACCAAAGGGGGCTCTTTCAACCAGGCTGGGATGTTGGACTGGAAGGTCTGTTTGATGATACTTGCTCGCGGGGCGAAAATGAGGCCCGAGCAGTATATTTGTAGTGGAGCCTCTTCTATCACTGTTCGCATGTGCAACACCCACCGTATGGCATCATAAATAAAGGCATGAAGTAGGGGGTTTTCAACGGCCTAGGATGTTAGTATATGAATATCACTCCATGTATATGAATCTCACCTTGACCAAAGTTTCTAATAAGAGAATATTGTCGATTCCCTCAAAGATCTTCCCCATCAAGGTAAGAGCCTCTAACCAATGAAGGAAGTTGCACTTCAAGAAGTCGTGTACTATATCATCGTCCTCAAGCTTGACTTTGGAACTTTCAAGATGAGAGGTCCAAAAGAGACATGCATATTGGACTGCAAGAGGAAGATATTTCTCCACGACACTGCTTTCAACTTCCTTTTGAAGAGCACCGGGATGTTTGAGCTGACAGATGTCCTTGATCAAATGTTTATTCATAAGATTCAGTGAGCAAATAAAGAGTCTGTTGTGTCCTTCTTCCGCTTTCACATGGAACTGCAGGTCAGAGCACCTTGTGCTGTCGAGGAGAAAGTCATGAAAAGAGAGATGGAATAAAGAGACTGGCGATCCATCATCTTCTGGCACAACCAAGACTGACCGCAGGCAGTCCAGTGTTTTTCGTACTTTGCGAAGGGGAATGTCGAGAAGCATCGATAGATCCCTAGGAGAGAGAGACTCATTCAAGAGGATGACAGATCCCACAATGGACTGGAACAGCGGTTTGAAAGGGCTGGTGATCTTCTGCTGTAGCAAAAGGGTATAGATCCTATCCAGATCTGCCGTGGGCGAGTCCTTGGTAGAGTCCATAGACATCAGGCTTTCGATTTGTTCTTCAGGGAAGTCGGTATCCAGGAATCGACACACCGTCGCAGCGTAAATGAAGAGACGACCTGCCTTTTGAACCATGTTCTGCTTGAACTCTTCGCCAGGCCATTCTGGCGGTAGATCTCGGTTGAAGGCTATGGTGGCGAGCATCTTGTTGAGGAAGAGAGAAACATCACGCGTGGTCTGAGTCCTCTGTTCGTTAGAGTCGAGCTTCCAATGCTGGTAAGTCGTGGTGATCTTTTGAAAGTCCCTTGCAATGGATTCCTCCGGTCGACTGACAATAAGGGTTCGCAGGTGGATCGAGTTGAAGCCGCTGACATTGGACAAGAGCTCGGGTATGGCATGTTGACTGTGATCCTGACACTCATCCAATGCATCAAGAACAATGACAATTTGAAGAGGTAAAAGCAGCTTCTTGTCCAGCTCTGATAGAGGCTCCAGTATGAGACGCTCGCATTGACTCTTCGGAGATTGTTCACTGATCGTCTTGTCTATGTCTATGGCCTTGCTCATGTATTCTCGGAGCGCTGGTAAGGAATCCGCCAGTTGAGATGCCAGAGTGGTAAATAGCGCTGCTGAATGGTTCCGCAGCTCTCCATTGCGTGAAAAGAAGAAGCTTGCTCCCAGAAGGTTATGTTCATTGAATCTCTGGCATATGGTGCGGCTGATGGTGGACTTGCCTGTCCCAGCCATTCCGCTGAGCCAGAAGATGGGCTTGTCGTCGTTTTCCTTTCCCCATTGTTCGAGATCGTTGAGAATCTCAACACGCGTGCCCTCAAGACACTTTGCGGGCAACGGGGCAGATGGTTCGACGGCATTGAAGCCTGCAAATCTTGCCCGAGAAAGCTTCTCAATGTGTAGATCTTCTGTGATGTTCCCCAACTCTCGGATTATACTATCAGCCTTGTCTTGAAGCTGCGATACTGCGGCATCAACATTTCCTAAAACCCTAGCCCCAATAGCCTGCAGATCCTCGTCGATGCTTTGTTTCGCTTGAGTCATGTCGTCCAGATCTGCCTTCCAGTTATTTGCGTTGATGAGGCCTCTCCAGTATCGGAACCAAGGGGAGCGCGAATACTGGCATATGATCTTCATTTGGCTTTTAATGATTCTGGCGTAGAGCTGTACTGCTTTTTCTCTTAAGCGCTGAAGAATCTCAGGGTTTGTATCACTGCTTCATATCAGTAATGTGGCCCCATTGGTCTTGAGCTATCACCCACCTCTTCGTCGTCTGCATTCCAGAGAGATTGTGAGTCTGGTCGATGACCTGCATTCGGATAAGAAGCTCAGACACATATGCAAGCAGGTTTGTGGCATCGTCAGCCTGCGTCAGTGGACTCGACAGCACCTAGACAGCGAGATAATTCAGTGGCAGGATTACCTCCAGGGGGTCGTCTATCAATCTTTCTTACCGGCAGTATAAGAACCACTCCCGCCCATGCAAGGGAAGCGTGTGGTTCCGAGCTGAGTAAAGTACTGATGAAGTCTTTAGAAGCGAGAATAGTCCGGATGACACGATTGATCTGGTCCTTGATGACGACTTTTTTGCCTTGAACGATGATCTTGCGATGGCCCTCATGGACGGCTTTGAGTTTGCGCTGTGCCAGGTCTTGCAGCTGTCTGTCAGCTCTGTCATCAGGTGGTGAAGAAGAAGGCTTTTGTGCTTCAGGCGATTTCCCAGAGCCTGTGGTTGACTCTTCTGGTGATAAGAGGTATTGCTTATACACCTCAAGGAGCTTGGCATCTTCATCCTCAACCTTGGCATATGCCTCAGCCCAGAGGCCTTTAGGCGTCGCGCTCTCGTCAGCATGCTTCTCTGGTACTGTGGGGGTCGCTATAGACACTCCGGATGTGTTTTGTGGGTTTAGATGGCCAGAGCCAGGCAATAATTCCTGTTTCTCATCTTTCGGCTTGGGTGAGTCCCTCCGAATGAAATTTTGAATAGACTTTTTAGTATTTCTCATCTTAAATGATCTCTTAAGTTTACTCCTTTACTCTTAGCAGGAAGTGGAATGAAAGACGGTACTTACATGCGGGGTGTCCTCGTGTGACGTGGCAGCTTTATGTAAGACATGAGTAGAGGGACTCAGTAGAGGGACTCAAGTATAGCCAATTTTAGACTAGACAGGAGTATTCTATAGGTTTTATCCTAATGAACTATATATCAATTACCAGCATCTGTTGTTCAAATAGTGATGTATACCAATAAGAAGAATATTGAAAGGTTTATAGGGAAAGTAGTACTATCAATAAACAATATAAGGCCTAAGGAAAGAGAAAGATGGAAAGGAGATAAGATGGTTTAAATATTCTATCATATATAGCACACAGACATTTACTGGGTCTTACAATCTTAATGGCCAAAGGCCCCAGATTATAAATATTGCGTACAAAATAGGACTCACCCCGCCTTAACCCCGCTTGAACGTCCTCCATCTCCACGCCTGCTGGTCAATTACAGAATCTCCAGCCGGTATCGACTCTGTTTCTCAGGGTGGGCGGATTGGGCAACAGAGCGAGGAGTTTAGAACTGCATACTGGGGGAACAGTGTGTCGGATACAGCCGAAACGGGTGGTTCCCATTCACTGGGATGATCTGTGGCGGTCTCTAACCCTAACCCTAACCCTAACCCTAAAGCACGCTGTTGTGAGGGCGTATCTTGAACGACGTTGCAGGGAATAATTTGGCCGGGGTGGGAGGTTGATTTAGTAATCCTTGATAATCAGATAATACTATTCTAATTAGGGTCCAATAACTACTCTATTGTACTCATTCTATCATCAAGTCTATTACAGCTTCGCTCTCACTTGGACTTCCTGTTGAATCTCCTCCCTCGACCGCTCCGTATCACTGCGAACCAGCTGGGCATACAAGGTCTGGATGCGTTGGGTGACGGGCCCTCGCTTGCCATCGCCGATGATGCGGCCGTCGACTTCTCGCACATGGATCTGCGAAGGAAAGGTGCCTGTGCAAAAGGCCTCATCGGCGCCATACACCTCTGTGAGGGAGAAGTCCAGCTCGCAGACGGGGATGCCGTTGGCGCGACAGACGTCGATGGTCTTCTGGCGGGTGATGCCCTGCATCTGGTTGTTCTTTGTGGGCGCCCAGACCTCGCCGTCGCGCACGATGAAGAAGTTGGTCGAGTTGCAGGTCTTGACGAAGCCGTTCAGGTCGAGCATGAGGGCCTCGTCGGCGCCCACGACGTTGGCGCCGATGCACGCCTGCACGTCCGTCGCCTTGGAGATGTGATTCCACATCTCGTCTTTGACGTCGGGCGGCCCGCGGCGGATGTGCGACGTGACGAGCTTCAGCCCCTGCTGCGACACTGCCGGATCGGCGGCTTTGATCTCGGGGATGATCACGATCAGCGGCATGCCGAGGTTGACCTTGGGGTTCTGGTACGGCGTCGCCTTCAACCCGCGGCTCACCACCAGCCGCAGATGGACGTGCGGTTCGCCGTCCATCGCGTTGCTGTCGATCGTCCGGTGCAGCATCGCCAGCAGCTGTGCTTTGCTCACGCCCAGATCCATCATCATCGCCTTGGCGGACTGGAAGAGTCGGTCCAGATGCGCCTTGGCGAACTGGATGCGGCCATTCTTTGCGCGGATTCCTTCCTGTTTTTTCTTAGCAAATACCGTTGGAAATAGACATCAAAGAGTCATCTCACCCAGATCCCGTCGCCGATCAGAAAGTTCGAGTCAAACACAGACACGACTGCTTCCTGCTTCGGAACCAGCTGGAATTGCCCGGTGACTCCGTCGCGGATGCCCACCAGGATGCGCTCGTTCTTCTCGTTCGGGACGACGGCGTGGGTGGCCATTGCGAAGATGAGTCTCTGCAGTACAAGAAGTGAAGGAATGATAGAGTATCATAGGCAATGAATCACGCAATAGGCTAGACAATGACGCCTTTTAAGGTGCGCGGCTCTCTCGGGGTGGGCCGAGAACCCAATTATGATTATTTCACAGGTCATCATAGTATTAATCTATCAAGATATACTATATATCTTAATGGATCAATACGACATATACGACATATACGACATATACTATATTATACTATATTATACTATATTATACTATATTATACTATATTATACTATATTATACTATTCATGCTTCTATGCTTCTATCTTGTAGAATCAGTCGGTCTACCCCGAGCCCGCTCGGCCTGCCCCGAATGCCTCAAAGTGAATTATCCACTTTTTGTCCGGGCGGGTCTCGCACCCCGAGTTGAGATACGATATGGCTCCATATAAGATGGGATGAATTAAAGGTTGAGGAAGTCAGGGTAGGACTCGAGTTCATCTCAACCTGACCAGTCATAACCCTAACCCTAACCCTAAACCCTAAACCCTAACCCTAGTTTTTTTCCTTTTTCTTCATTCAGAATGACAGACAAGACCATCGTCTCGGATAGTACAAGTCTCTCAGATGGCCAGCTCCTGTCGGAGAAAGATGACAAACGTGTGCGGTCCAAGATCGACGCGGTGGTGATGCCTCTGGTTGCCATCGCCATGACCCTGGCTTTTCTCGACAAGGTATGTCTTTTTCTCTCTCTTCTCTTCTTCTCTTTCTTCTCTTTCTTATTGATAGAACGGCCTTGGCTATGCGGCAGTCTGGGGCCTGGAAACAGACACCCATCTCCAAGGCCAGCAGTACAGCTGGCTGGGAAGCATCTTCTACTTTGGCTATCTGGGCATGGAACTGCCCAACCTGTGGCTGATCACCAAGGTGCCGCTGGGCCGGTATCTCGGCGGGTGTCTGACAGCCTGGGGCGGGTGTCTGTGTCTGCTGGCGGCGTGCAACAGCTTCGCCGGGCTGGCGACGATCCGGTTCCTGCTCGGCGTGTTTGAAGCGGCGATGCTGCCGTGTCTGTTGCTGGTCAACTCGCGCTGGTACCGGCGCGAGGAGCAGCCCCTGCGCACGGCCATCTGGTACAACACGCTGGCGGGCGTGTTTGGGGGTATCCTGAGCTACGCCATCGGCCACATCCACGGCGCCCTGCAGACGTGGCGGTACATCTTCCTGATCTACGGGTCTGTCACCGTCGCGTTTGGGGTGCTGGTCATCCTCGCCCTGCCTGACCGGCCGGCCACGGCCTGGTTCCTCTCGCCGGGGGAGAAGAAGATGGCCGAGGCGCGCGTGGCGGCGAACAAGACCGGCGCGGCGGCCTCGTTGGCGTCGGCGCAGCGCAGCAGGATGCTGGACGCTGACCTCGCTGGTCGCCATGGCCGGCGCCATCATCGTGCACCTGGTCGACTCTTCCGTCCACCGCAACGTCTCCCTGGCAGGTGTCTATCTCATGGGCTTCTATAATGTCCCCTGGGTCCTGGCCTTGAGCCTGCAGACCTCCAACACGGCGGGAATCACCAAGAAGAGCTTTGTCTCGGTGTCTATCGCGGTCTTTTACGGTCAGTCTTTCTTTCATCCTGCAGAACTCTCTCTCACTGATTCTTCCAGCGGTTGGCAATATTGTTGGCCCCCAGTTCTTCAGGTCCAGCCAGGCGCCGCATTACAGCCTCGGCATCGGGGCCATGCTGTGTGCGTTTGCCGTCATGGCGGCCACAGGCGGATTCTATTTCATCGCGTGTTTCCAGGCCAATCGAAGCCGAGAACGTTCAGGATCAAATGAGGGCGATGAGACAGACACGGAGGATCTGACCGACTGTGAGAATCGTAGCTTTCGATATGTATATTAATGTAAACCTGAAGGAAATAAATATCTCTAATTGCTATATCTGTACTGATCTTTGTAATGATGCCCCTAGGGTTTAGGGTTTAGGGTTTGGGGTTTAGGGTTTATTCAAGAGCTTGAAAAGGGCTATTTGAGGTTAACTGGGAGATACATAGAATCCACTCTGATTACTTTAATAATGTTCATTTATTATCTTGAGACATATCTAGATTAACACCTAGTGATATCATCAGAACAACCAGACCTGAAGATCTACTTATATGCCCGCACTCTCTTCATTAGCATCATGCAGCAGAGTACCATACCAGGCCGTCAGCATGTCGTCAATGTCCATCATCTCGTTATCGAAAATGTCCGACACCTGGTGGAGATATGCTTCCAGACCCTCGGGCTCCAGGGACATGCTGTCGGCAGGCTGCGCCTCGAAGCCTGAGAAATCCGGGGGATGGGAGAGTGACATCTCGGGATAGTAAAGGTATACCTTTGAGGTTACGACGGCGAAGAGCTGGACAAACTTGGAGAGCGACGGGTTTCCCAGGCTGACGACGCCCTTTTTCAGCAGATCCTGGCAGATGGCGGCATCTTCGGGGCGAACAGAAGGTGTTGTATTCTGTGTGAGTTTCTGAATGTGCCTGGGTTCAATTAGTAGAATTATGTTAGGGTTAGGGTTAGGGTAGATGGTTTACCAGTCGCAATAAAGACGAGACAAGCCTGCCATGAGGATATGATGGAACTGGCAATGGGATCGACAGACAGCATGGATGCCATCAGCTGCCGCCATGGCTGCCCACTGTTTCAACGCGCTGGACGAGGCCTGGGAACAGATGGCCACCATCTTCTGCGAGGGGATCATAAAGGTGGGCGAGGGCCGGTTGAGATGCAGCAGCAGCAGGCAGTACTCGATCTTCATCAGCTTGTATTCCCTTCCGGGGCCCAACCCTGCGGCGTCGAGCTGGCCCTTCCACCGGTCGAGCCGTCGATGCAGGCCGTCCGAGATGGAGCGGATCTCGTGGAGAGTCAGCGACGCGCAGCGCCCGTCCTGGCCGCGCGCAATGTAGATCGACTCGAGCACCTGGCCGGCGATCCTGCGCAGCTCGACCATCTGCACAAACAGCCAGACCGTCTTGGCCTGGTAGAGCGGCGCGGCGTCGGCCTCGTGCGCCGTGAGTCGGTCCAGACTGCCGGGGCGCGACGCCGGGGTGGGCGCATCGATCGCCTGGTCGCGGACGGACAGCACGCGGCCGGTACTCAGCGCCACGGAGCGCTCGAGGCTGTAGATCGTCCACCAGAGACGGGAGCGCAGCTCAAAGTCGTCGGCGCTGAAGTTCCACGCCGGGTTGTGCCGGTGGATGCCCAGCTCGAGGGCGACCGACATGGCGTAGCGCGTGAGCTGCCACAGGTCGTTGCCGTGCTTCGGGGCCGGCGAGTTCAGCATCCAGATGGTCAGCAGCACGACGGCCTGGAGGCCGGGCAGATCGCGCGGATGGTCGTGGAAGCGGGCAAAGAAGTGCAGCGCCGTTTGGAGGTATTCCGGCGGCGTGTTGACGTCCAGCAGAGTCGGCGACGGCGTGTCTGTGTTGATTGCCGCCACGTCCGAGGCCAGCGCCAGCACGACGAAGAAGATGAACTTGTGCCAGTCGCTGCATCGTCGGGGCGCCTGGTACATCCCCTGGAAGCAGGCCCGGAGCGAGGGCAGATGCAAAAAGGGCCACCAGATGTGGACGCGCGCGATATACACCGACAGCAGGCTGGCGGCGACGGCTCGCGATGGAATCGTCGCCGTGGGCGTCTCCAGGTCTGGCGATTCATATCGTCCAGCAGCAGGCTTTGCCGACGAGACGTCTAATCCAACCTGCTTGAAGAAGATCCGAGCAAAGGTCGATCCAGCAGCAGCGCCAACTGAACAACTCTTCATCAGCAGTCTTCCTTGACAGTTGACAGTTGACAGTTGACAGTTGACAATTGACAGTTGACAGTTGACAATTGACAGTTGACAGTTGACAATTGACAATTGACAGTTGACAGTTGACAGTATGGATGCTATCTTACCATATTTCGAGTGGGAATAGGGATCTGCAAACCCAATGGCCAGGACGCCGACTTCTTCTGCTTCTTTGGTGACATCGGCCGACCATCCCAGGCTGTCCGACGCCGCCTGCTGAGGCCCCGACTGGCCGGCTCCCTTCTGGGCCAGCTGCTGTTCGAGTTCCTGCACCCGGGAATGCAGTCGTTCAACCAGCGAGTACGGATACGCGACATACTCCGTGATGTTGCAGGCCTCCCCTTGTCTGGAGCATGCCGAACACTGGGGGATCTTCAGATCACACTGATAGGCCAATCGGTCAGTCAGTACTGCAATACGGAGATACTACTCAATAGCAGGGACTTGCCTTGACCTTCCGGGAGCGACATCTGTTGCACGACTTGACCACCGACGGAGTGTATTCGCCAATAGCTTCAAACAGAGGCATCGGCAGAGATGAGTTCAAGAGGTTGTTTGATGACGGAGAGATTGTTCAGATGCCTAGTCCTGCTCTAGTTTAGCGTGGGCAAGGGGAGAGGGATATCTCTTTCTCTCCTCTCCTCTTTCCCCTCATTTGCAGCCACCAATTGATGATTTCATTTGATTCGGGCCGTCACATTCAGTGGCGGATCTTTGCTATTGAGAGATGAGACGTCGGCGGAATGTTCGCCCGATGAGTGTCACGTGACTGGTCCAAGGGATAAGTAGGGTTAGGGTTAGGGTTAGGGTTAGTGGGCATATAGAGGATAGAATATAACTATAATAGTTAGCAGCGTATCCTAAATATGAGGTACTAGGCTATCATGTTAGGTTTAGGGTTTAGGGTTTAGGGTTTAGGGTTTAGGGTTGGTGAGTATATAGAAGTGATAGAATATAGTACAGTGAATTAAGCAGCAGTGAGTACCTTCAGTATGAGTTAGCTGATCATGTTAGGGTTAGGGTTAGGGTTATGTTAGGGTTAGTAGACAATCCCCAGATGCCCTTAGTGCTGATCCTACAAAGTAGATATAGTAGTGAATAGAGGAATGTATTTAACTACTGATTATTAATTTAGTCTATGACATAAAGATACTATAGAATACGAGAGTAAGCGATCCGACCAATCAGATAACATCTAGACTCAGTGAGATCAACACATATAAGACAGACAACGCAGAAGACAGACAATGCATATAAGACAGACTCTAATAATCCTCCATTCACTCTCCATTCCAATTCACTTGGCCTCTACAATGTCGTTCATCTCTCTCCAGACCAAGCCCTCTGCACAGCTGTGCTACACCTTCACCCCCCCCTCGCAGTCCTCCGTGCTGCTCGTCTTCCTGAACGGCCTCGGACTGCCCCAAGCCGCCTGGCAACCGGTGATCTCTCAACTGCGCACGCTCCGTAACGAGAAACGGGCTTCTCTCCCTGCCATCCTCACCTACGATCGGTTCGGCCAGGGCCAGACCACCGACCGGGACCCGCGCGATGCCTCCGTCCTGGATCCCTCGCACGGCCACGACTGTGCGGACGTGGTCGCCGATCTGCACCAGCTCATCCTGCAGATAAAAGAACTCCATCTGAAAGATGATAAGAACACTATATCTACGGTTTTCGTGGCGAATTCCATCGGGTGCGCCCTCGCCCGCCTCTACGCAGAAACATACCCCGGTTCAGTCGCCGGGGTACTCCTTCTCGACAGCGTCCTGGCCAACTCGGACTTTGTCTCTGTGTTTCCCGACCCAGACAAAAAGGACGACACAATCGAGCTGCCTTCCGACGTGACGCCAGACATGCTCCGTACGGCGAGAGACCGGGTGGCGCGCATCTTCCACCCCTCCGTCGGCAGTCGTGAGGGCCTCAGTCGGAAAACCCTCGCCGGGCTCTTGCCGACGAGCGATGGGCCGGTCCTGCTCGGGCCAGACGGCAAAGGACCGTACGTGACGGTGATCGGACACGATCCTGAGGCCTTTGCTGCCGAGAGCGAGAAGATGGGCATGCCCCGTGTCTTGTCGAGGGCCTATACCAATCCCTACTGGGAGAAGTATAACGCGGGCTTGGTCCAGATCACGGAGCCAGACAGGGCGAGAGGGCCATTTCAGGCGCCGGGGGCAGGCCATTTCGTTCAGAAGGATAACCCGGGGTTTGTCGTTGAGGAGCTTGATATCCTTCTTGACCAGTTGGATTAGTTGAATAGAAACACCTTTACTAGACTGTACTACGAGTAACAGTAATTGTCTGTTCTAGGTCTACGTGGCTGCAGGGTGGGAAGGTAGAGGGAGGAAAGGGGGGAGGGAGATCTGACGGTAGATCCAACAGACAAGGAGATCTGTCAGATGGGAATGGGAGAAGGTCTACGTCTGTCGTCTATAGCTGTGCTATACAGCTATACTATAGTATAGCTATAGCTGTACTATAGCACAGCTGCAGCTGCAACTGACAGTTTACGCTGTTAGTATCGATACATAAGAAAAGTATGAAGCATGTCCTTTCGCTGGTATTATCCAGATCAAGTTCAGCGGTATTTCTCAGAACGAATCATGCCGAGGCAATCATCGAACACCCGCCATGCTACATACGCTTACCTATTGACCGTCGAGAGAATGGTCTCGCAGTCAAGTCACACAGTGACGCCGTCGGTCTTGGGAGAAACGGTCTGCTCCGAGGCAGCATACGACTGGTCGTCCTTGAGGTTGCCGAACCAGTCGTCGCGGGACTTGCGCCACCACTCTTCGAGGGCGATGACCGTGATCCCCGCCATGATGACAATGGAGTAGTTGAACAGACTGGGTTCCGCGGAGATGGCGGCGTCGCCGTACTGCGGCGCGCAGAGCACCGCAAAGGCGAACCCGTTCCAGAGAAAGGTCACCACGGCGGACAGGACGCCGAAGCGGCCCAGAGCCCAGAAACTGGGGCGGAAGGTTTTGCGCGTGAGCAGGGCGCGCCCGAGCCCGACCAGGCCATACGCGGCGATGGAGCCCGCGGCCGAGGTGGAGGTGAGACTGGCAAAGGCGACCTGCGAGGGCAGCTGGGTGCAGAGCAGCAGGGCGGCGCAGATGGAAATGAAAACCACGGCGTTGCGCGGCTGGCGGCTGGCCGAGACGCGGCACAGCACGTTACTGAAGGGGAAGACCGAGTCGCGTGAGATGGCGAAGACCAGCCGCGACACGGCAACGAGTGAGATGGAGGTGTTGAGGATGGCGCCGACCATGGCCACGACGGTGGCCACGACGTGTGCGCGCGGGCCCAGCGCGAGGGCGTACATCTGGATGAACGGCTGCGGGGCCGAGGTCGCGTAGAAGGTCTCGATGGAGGGCATGCAGAAGAGGAAGAGCAGGATGATGGGGAAGCCGCACAGGGCGGACGCGACGGTCGCCCAGAAGACCCCCTTGGCGGCCGCCTTCTTGGCCGACACCGTCTCCTCGGCCACATGGCCCGAGGCGTCCTGGCCGACCAGGCAGCTGGCGGGCAGGTACCAGGAGAGCACCCAGTTGAGGCCCGGGGCGGTGCCGCCCCCGTTGTAGGTCGAGGTGAAGACAAACTCGGCGGGCTGGAAGCCGTAGGTGCGCGCCACGCCGATGGGCAGCCAGACGAAATTCAAGACGATGTCGATCGCGATGACGACCACGCCTGCGCGGAACACCCAGGCGTAGGAGCGCGGGGGGAGGAAATTGAGCGCGGTGGCCAGCGCCAGAAACAGCAACGAGAGCGCCCAGGCCACCGCGCGCGCGCGCACATCCGCCGTGTCGTAGGGAAAGGTGGTGTCCGGGTTGAAGACGACGATCTCGGAGATGAGGTAGTTGGCCACGCCGAACGAGTCGGTCGCCAGGAAGGACGTCCACGCCACGAGTGTCCACGCCGCGACCAGAAACGAGACAAACCGCCCGGCGCGGCCACCCCCCCACGAGCGAAAGGCCCAGTAGTAGATCGAGCCGGCGGCAGGGTACGCCGAGCACGCTTCTGCCAGCGTGGCCGCCGTGATGATCGAGAGCACGCTGCCGGATAACCAAGAGCTCCACCTGTTTCCTTATCAGCTCGAGCAGAGAACATTCTAAACCAGGGAGAAATACATCGCTGCTGGCCCCCCGTTACTCAACGCGATATAGAACAGCACGCGTACGCCACCGATGCAATACAGCGCCGAGAAGGAGCACGCAAAGTTGTCGAACGCGCCCCAGCCACGCGCCAGGACGGACTGGTAGCCCAGCTGGCGCAGCTCGCGCTCGTCCTCCTCTGTCTCGGTCGGCATGCGATGGGATGGAGACGCAGGGGGGATTTCCATGATGGATGGTTCGCTGGGTCCGTTGCTTTCGATGGTGGTCGAGTCGAGTTGGTGAAGGAGGAGAAGGTGAAGAAGAGAAGGAGGAGAAGAGAAGGAGGAGAAGAGAAGGTGAGGAGGAGGAAATGTGCGAGTCGCTAGCGAGTCACGTGAGGGCGTGTTAGCGAAACCTACACCGGACAAGATTATTACATTATGATTGATTCATGTCAATTGGTATTGATTGGTTCTATATTACGGTACATAGATTTATGGTTTCTACTAGATGGTATGTGTATGTCTTGGAGACCTGGTGACAGCCAGTACCTTTGGTGTTGATCGTCAATATCAGCAGAGGAATGAGATGGTGCATGGCATATCGAGTGATCACCCGTTCCAGCCGTCCCAGCCGGTGCTCATCCCGAGCGACCACGAGCCGTCGATGAACGGCCACTGCAGCATATCCGCTTCGAGATCCTGAAGGTCGAGGGGGGTGTCGGGTGCATTGTTCGCCGGCAGATGGTCTGTCGATGCTTCCCTGTCCGAGGGGTGTCGAGTACGATCGCCTCGACCGGCGTCACCAACCACCAGGGAGCGCTGGCGGACGGGAGAATGGCGACGGACGGAGGGGTTTCGAGGGGAATCCAGACGGAGTCGCAAGCACCGGATGTCGCCATACTCGTCCAGTCTTCCCGCCAGAGTCAGATGGGAGGCGTTCTGGGTCTGGGTGCTTTTCGCCATGCGGTAGAAGTCTTTTGCTTCTTGTACAGTGCGCCACTTTTATTGTTAGCCAAGGGAAACATACATCACACAGGAAAGGAAATACCCAAGAATGACCGACGGGCCACAGTTGTCGGACACGATCTAGATAGAGAAAATTCCGCTGCGTCTCCTCCTCGGCACGATGGAGTCCGCCCGGATACCGCTGCGGACTGACGGTGCCGTACATGTTGATGTGAGCGGCCACAAAGACACTGAATCCCGAGTAAGGAGTGATGACGGGGGTTTCGGCCGCCTCAAGGGCGGACAGGATGCCTCCGATGTTTTGCGCGGCCGTGAAGAGCTGGTGGATGGTACTCTGGTCATCGGTCGCATCCGAGGGCTCGTCGACGGCGGGGACGCGATGAACAAGGTCTGAAAGGGGGTGATAGCTAGCGAGAACGCGATCTCGATCGAGAAAGAGGACACTAGAGGGGTGAGAAGAAATCAATATTGAAGCTGGCCAGACAAACCTCATAAAGTGAATCAGGTTGATGTAGGCAAACAGCTCGCCGGACCCGAGGGCGACATGGGCCTGGACATTGGTGGTGGGATAGCGCAAGGTGACGTCCTGCAGGGCGCGCCACTCGTCCAGCTCTTCTTTCAAGGTCTGCCAGCTGGACGGCTGGAGTGCGGCTGGGGCAGCAGAGGAGGCACGGGCGCGGCGACTCTCATTGGCAAAGCGGAGGATGCGGACAAAGATGTCGAAGCCACGCGTGACGAGGGTGAGTCCGTGGTCGATGGTGAGGGTGCGAGGCAGGCTGCGGGAGCCACCACACATGTCTGCAGGCATCAGGCGTTGGGGTGCGGGACGGACGAAGATGAAATCGTGGTCGGCGATGGGCAAGGGGACGGAGATCTGCTGGAAGGAGAGCGCAAAGTGCTGGCGGGCGCCCGAGCTGAGCTCGCAGTCCTGGGCGAAGCAACACCAGTAGGTGCGAACGAGCTGCTCGTACTGGGTCTGGGCGGTGGCTTCGTGGTTATCGTCGGCCGTCTTCAGCAGCGACTGGATCATATACGTTGCCATTCCTGGCAGTCAGACTCAAGCTAGAATCTATCTCAGAACAAGGGTGATATCTCAACATACCACTATACATCCAAGCTTTGTAGGCGTGCCCCGACCCCCACTCGTAAAAAGAGACCATGACCAGCGACTGCGCGAGAGCGAGCGAGGGGCTCTCAAACGCACGCAAGGCCAGCTGCGACCGGGCATAATCGGCATACACGTCTTCGGGCTGCAGGCCGTGGGAGGGCATAAAGCGGGCACATAGCGCCAGCACGGCGGCGACAAAGACCGGATCCACGGTCGACGGACACGCCGAGATGTCTGCGATGAGCGAGGGATAGTGCAGGAAGTTGGTCGTGGGGAATTTCTTGCGGTAGGTCTCGCAGGCGCTGATGATGGTGGAGGGCGAGAGACAGGCCACCGGGTCGGACTGCGACACGGAGACCTGAGAGACAGCACGAGAGGAGGGCGAGCGAGACGGAATCTCCCTCGACTCCAGAGACATAGACACCGCTTGTATAGCCCGTCGTTTCGCTCTCCTGGGCGGCGTTCGAGGCGCAGCGCGGGGATCCGACAGGACGCAGTCGGGGGTGCGCAGACGCAGACAGCGACGACACGGTGGGGAGCCGTCGTGGTGGCACTTGACTTTTGCCTGACTGAAGGTGTCAACAGGAGAATCGATGATGGAAAGAGACAGCGATGCTTACCGGCACGCCGCGCAGGAGATGGAGACTCTCATCGCGAGGCGACGAGGGGAGGAGAGGAGGAGGCGGTTTCTCGATTGGGATGGCGTCTTATCTATTGCCTGATTAGCCTGAGGCATTATTATTGCCTGAGGCAGAAGCCTGAGGCATACTAGCTGGAGTTGTTAGCCTGAGGCAGAACTATTGCCTCAGGTATAAGTGTAGCCTCAGGCAGCAATAGATATAGGACAAAAATTACTGAAAATGATGGCTATGCAATGAGGGCTAAAACTAATCTACAACACATTCTATCGACTCCAACCAGGCCGCCAGTTTATCCACCTGCAGCTTCTCGGTCGCCCAAGAAGTCACCAGCCGGACGACGACGTCTTCCTCTCTCTCCTCCCAGACATAGACTCCGAAGCGTTCTCCGAGCCTATCGGCCAGCGATCTCGGGACAGCAACAAACAGCAGGTTGGACTGCACGGGGGCGGCCAGCGCGTAACCCCTGCTTTCAAAGAGCGAACCGATGCGACGAGCCATTTCATTTGCATGATCCGCCAAACGGAAGTAAAGACAATCCTCGGAAGAAGAAGAAGAAGAAGAAGAAGAAGGGGTGGGATCTTTGAAGAGCTCTTCAAACTGTACGCCCAGCACCCTCCCCTTGGCTAGGAGGGCGCCATGTTGTTTGAGATGGAGGATGAAGTCGTCGGCGATGACGCGGTTGCGTACGACGATCGCCTCGCCGAGCAGAGCGCCGCATTTTGTCCCGCCGATCCAGAACAGATCGGTGAGTTGGAAGAGGTCGCGGAGGGTGAGGCCCTGGGCGGCGGGCGAACGCAGGGCAACGCCCAGCCGGGCGCCGTCGATCATCAGCAGCAGGTTCAGCCGTCGACAGGTGGCGGAGAGGGCGTGCAGTTCTGATCTCGAATAGACCGTGCCGTTCTCCGAGGCGTTGGACAGGTAGACGAGGCGCGGGCGCGGCGAGTGTGGGTGGAAGGAGTGCTGGGCGACGGCTTTCTCGATCCCCGCGGGGACCAGCTTGCCCGTGTGTCTCTCTGGCGGGACGAGGATGGTCTTGTGGCCTGTGTTTTCGATGGCGCCGGCCTCCTTGGCGACGATGTGGCCGGCGTCGAGGGTGATGACCGCCTCGAACGGGCGCAGACACGCGGCGATGCACAGCCGGTTGGCGGCCGTGCCGCTGGGCACGAAATGGATGGCCGCCTCGCTCGGGGAGCAGCCCAGGCGGGCGCAGATCAGCCGGCGGGCGGCGTTACTGTGTTCGTCGGCGCCGTACGGCCGTTCCTGCGTGCGGTTGGACTCGAGCAGGGCGGCCAGGATGGCCGGGTGGGCGCCCTCGCTGTAGTCGTCACGGAAGGTGGAGATTTCCTCGAGTATTGCAGGCATGGTGTCGTCTGGGGGGGAGAAGAAGAGTCTCATGAAGGGGGAGTGTCGTAAGAATCAGCTGGAGAAGGCTCTTAAAAGCCTCAGTTGATAAAAAATATCGGGAATGTCGGGAATGCCGGGAATCTGCGTATTCCCGACGAGGTTTGCTGATAAGAAGCGCCTATCGTCCAATCAGAAAACTCGCTGCCCTCCCCACCAGCGCACTAGCTGGATCCAGTCTAGCGTGTCCCATGACTCGGGTGCTGACCCAACAGGGACTAGTCGGTATGTCTTACATAATCCCTACAGACGCTGCTGATTTTGCATTGGAACGAGTGGAATCCCGGGAAAGCCCCTGTTTGGATGTCTGGATGTCTGGTCATCAAGGCCACTGGAACGAGGGGCGAGGCAGACGGGGGAGTGAAGAACGTGGTTGGCGGGATCGTAACCAGCGATCCCTGGTAGAAGCTGAACGATGTTCTAGAAGCTTGACTGCTACTATCTACTAGACCTACCTATACACAGTACAGATCAATAAGGCATGTGGAACTCTAGTGAATGCAGTACAGAATCTAGTACAGAGTATGCAGTGTCGAGATTTGCCCCTGCTGTTCCCCATGTATCCGCCCCAACCGGTCCGGCGCAGCCATCGTGATCGCCGCGTACTGTCAGCAGCAGGGTAGATCTGTCGCACCTTCGCCGCAGCATACCAGGGGAATCCGAGGACATACTGTGCCACCTGGAGACAGAAATAATGATAGAAAGAACAATAACAAAAAAAGCAAGTAACAGTGATGGTAATGTAGTATATTAGTAGTATGAGCAGATTATCCTTACTCTTACTATAGTCATGTTGTAGTAGAGTAATATTACCTGGTTATCAGTACTTAACTACTATACTATATATGATAATAATAGGTAGTATTAGTATATTCTTAGTCTATTAATAAACCTAAGATTACTACTGTCTCAGCTCGTATATGCAGATCACCAGCTAGTGTTACTGTATGATTTAGTAATAAGAGTATAATTAAATATATACTTGTATACCTAGTAGTTGTAAGTACCTAGTATATTAGAAGAGTATCTCTCTATACTAGGTACTCCTAGTATACTCAATACTCTAGTATACTCTACTCGATACTACCGGAGAATCGTAATTCTCAGGTAGTACAACATCAGTCAGAATAGAGTCATCCAATACTGTTAGAAAGATCTACATCCTCTTCAATAATCTCTTATAATAACACTGTTTCATTTCCACTGTAACTCTGCTATCAAATGGCACCCCGTGGCACCCAATCATCTTCCTCCCCGCATATCACCCGATAGTGATCGTCGCTCTTTATTTATTTCTCTCTCTCTCTTTCCCCTCCTCACTTTCTCCCAGTCCATCTTCCCTCCCTCTCTCCCTCCCCTCCCTCTCTCTCTCCAACACTCATCTCTCTCTCTCCAACACTCATCTCTCTCACTCTCTAACATACTCGTCTCCCTCTCCCACTCTTCTCTGACCATCATGTCTGAGACAGAGACTCACGTCACGCACGAGGAAATCCCCCGTCCCCCCGGATGGATGTACAAATCCTTTCGTATCGGTCGCTGGCAGACAGGCTGGTACGCCTCGCCTCGCATCCAGCTGGGGCTCGTGGCTTTTGTCTGCTTCATGTGTCCGGGCATGTACAATGCTCTTGGTGGACTGGGAGGAGCTGGGAGAGCCAGTACCGGACTCGCTGACAATATGGTATTCTTTTCTATTCCGTTTCCCCCCCCCCGCTGCTTCCCTCTCCTGCTCACTGACTTCTTCCTAGGCTGTCGCAACATATTCCACCTTCGCCGTGGTCGGCTTCTTCGCCGGATCGATCGTCAACCGGATCGGCGTGCGGCTGGCACTCTCGCTGGGCGGCGTCGGATACGTGATATACAGCGTTAGCCTGCTGGTTTCTGAGCACGCCCACGTCGGCGGCTTCAATATCTTCGCGGGCGCGTTGCTGGGCGTGTGTGCTGGTCTGCTCTGGTCGGCCCAGGGGTGCATCATGCTCTCCTACCCGGCCGAACAGGAAAAGGGCCGCTATTTCGCCTGGTTCTGGGCCATTTTCAACGTCGGCGGCTGTATCGGGAGTTTAGTAAGTTCTCTATTGAATGCTATTAATGCTGTTAATGCTGTTGATGCTGTTGATGCTGTTGATGCTAATTGTAGATCCCCCTCGGACAAAACATCCATGTCAAAACACAAAAAACGGTCACCGACGGCACGTACATTGCCTTTATCGTGCTCATGTTCTTCGGCATGGTGCTGGCCCTGTTCCTGTGCGACGCCGACAAGATAGTCCGCAAGGACGGCTCGCGCGTCATCCTCAAGAAGAACCCAAGCTGGAAGTCCGAGCTGCTCGGCCTGTGGGAGACCCTGCGCGACGCCCCCTACGTCGTCCTACTGTTCCCCATGTTCTGGTCCTCCAACTGGTTCTACACCTACCAGATGAACGGCATCAACTCGGCCTACTTTGACACCCGCACCAAGGCCCTCAACGGCTTCCTCTACTGGTTCGCCGAGATCGTCGGCGCCGCCATCATGGGGCCCCTGTTGGACTCGAGCCGCTTCCGTCGCTCTGTCCGCGCCCGCATCGGTCTCGTCGCCCTCTTCGCCCTCACCATGATCATCTGGGGCTGTGGCTACATCTGGCAGAAGAAATACACCCGCGCGACGGTCGAGGCGTCCGACTTTGTCTCCATGGACTGGTCCACCCCGGGCTACGTCGGGCCCATGTTCTTGTATTTCTTCTACGGACTGTACGACACCATCTGGCAATCGCAGGTTTACTGGTAAGCTCTTCAATGTTCACAGTCACTGTTAATGATGATACTTAATGACCACTATATACTGATGATACTTCAGGTACATGGGCGCGTTGAGCAATTCCGGCCGCCGCTCCGCCAACTTGGCCGGCTTCTACAAAGGCCTGCAGTCCGCCGGCGCGGCGGTGATGTGGTCCCTCGACGCCAACAAGCTGCCCTACATGTCCGAGTGGGCCAGCAACTGGGCTCTCCTCTCGGGCAGTCTGCTCATCGCCGCCCCGGTTGCGTTTTATAAGATCCGCGACCATATCCCCGTCGAAGATGAGTTGCAGGGCACCGATGAGACCCTGGAAGATGTTCTTCCTGTCGGACATCCGGAGAAGGCGACTGCTTGATTTCTCGTGGTTTTGATGAACTGAGCCTACCTCGGTTCTTATGATGACTAGCATGACTTATGAATCACATCCAATCCAGTAACCTTGATGTCACTGATACTACATGTAAGATATAAGCAGGGATCAGACAGGGGTGCCGTGCAACGGTGTCATCATGTCACCACTATCAGTACTACAGAGTACATACGAAGTAGACTATTTAGTAGTGTTGACCATCTCAATAAACAGCCTCTTGACCTCCTCCATCTCCCCCTCCCACACCCCCTCCAGCGACAACTCCTCGCCCGCCGCCGCTCTGGCCAGAAACTCCCTCGAGGGAAACGTCAAGCCGACCGTGCGTTCGACAGGCTTCATGCGAACCCCGCGCAGCACCTGAACCAGCTGTTCCGCCGCTTTGCCCCCGCCGTGGCCCCCATAGCTGACCACCATGCCCACCTTCCCCTTCCACTCGTTGAACAGGTAATCGATCGCGTTCTTCACGCCAGCAGGATACCCCCAGTTATACTGCGGGGTGACGAAGACGAAGCCGTCGAAGCGCGAGATCTCCGCAGACCAGCGCCGCGTGTGCTCGTGGACGTACTCGCGCGCAGAGCCGATCTGCGACGGGATCCCCGGCTCGTCGCATAGGGGGAGCTGCCATTCTGCTAGATCGATGGGTTCGATCGAGACGTCGGCTGTCTGTAGCGACTGGATGCTCTGCAGGACGAGTTGGCTGATTTGGAGCCCGGCGCGGGGCTTGCGTTGGCTGCAGACTATCAGGCCGATTTTCATGTTTAGATCCTAGGAGATGAAATGGTTGAAATAATCACTGAGTGGCGGGAGCAGGTTGTATCTTGGTGCTAGCGTTCTATTCTATTCTATTGTTCTGCCTGAAGCTGAAGTAGCGTAAGACATAAGCGTATGCCTGAGGCATACACCTCAGCATATACCTCAGGCATACCATCTGCCTCAGGCATACACTCTGCCTCAGGCATATACCTCAGGCATATGCCTCAGGCACCACGCAAAGCTCTCAACAACCTCTCCTCGCCCAACTCCCCTCCCCCCGGCAACCCACTGACATCCAGAAGCAGATCCTCCGGCTCGAACGCAGCTCGCACGATCTCCGTGCCCGGTGAGCTGGTGAAGAGCACCTTGACGGTGGCCGAGACGGCCTGGTCGTGCACGAGAGCCAACAGCGCCGACAGCACACGCAGCGACTCGTCCTGGAACTCGGTGCGTTCGAAAAAGGCCACCCCGTCGACGATACAGAAGAGGGTGGTTGTCTCGGGCACCTGGCGTACCATGCACACCAGCAGGTGGATCAGCTCGTCCAGCTGTCCCTGCTGCACGACACTCATGGCAACCTGCTGGGAGAGCGAGCGGGTGTCGAACGCTTGTTGATCCAGTAGCTGGAGAATGAGACTGTTCAGCAGGGAGCGGCCTCCACTGCTGCTCCTGCTGCTGCTGCTGCTGCTGCTTCTGCTGCCATCACTGTCCTCGTCGAGGGCTTCTTGCTCTCTGGCTGTCTCGACATGTCGCCCGCAGAAAAACACCGCCGACAGGAACCGTTCCTGGGCCCCGAGCGCCTGCGAGAGAGTCGTACACAGCACAGACAGAGGGGAAATCCCCGCGATGCACTCTGGCAGCTGGAAGTCCCAGTGGACAAGCAGCTTGGCGGAATACGGAGACACAATCCAGTCCTGGAACTGCTGCGTGTTGACAACTTGTTCGGCGTGCGCGCGTTGTCTCCAGGGCAGCATTTCCTTTCGGTCGTTCACGAACTCGGTGTCTGTGGCGCTCCCCTCGGCGATATCCAATACTTGCCGCAGCGCCGCTTGGCTCAGATACACGGTCGTGCTAGGCGTTGTCTGCGCGGGCGAGGGAATCCAGCCTCCAGGCTCAAAGGGTGAGGTACTGCGTAGCCGGACGTTTTCGGCTCTCAGCATGAGAATCTCTTGCTCTGCCGCTCGAAGTTCTTTGCATGTCAGCAATGTCAGCATATATTACTCTCAAAGAAACAGCAATGCTTACGGCTCTTCTGCTGCACATGATCCACTAACAAGCGGTGGATCGAGTTGAGGGTGTCGGCGCTCCGTTGCTGTCCATCGAGCAGCGATCGCTGCGTCCTCCGAGCCTCTATGCTGTCTTGATACTGATCAGTCTTGCCTCGGCTGCGAGAGATGGTCAACGCGTACCGAGATGAGACTGGTAAATGTGAGACTTTTGCGCTTCATCCGCTAGAACCGCGCTTCTCCTCCCGATCGCCTGGAGGCTTTCGAGTAGCTTCTTTTCATAATCGGCGCCCTGCAAGATCGCCTTGCCTGCCTTGCGAACTAAACTGTCAGTTCCTTCATCTCTTTCAGTGCGGGTACTGCATGGAACTCACTCTCATGACGCAGAAAGAAAGCGATCGCCTGCTCGATCGCCACCAGCGTACTCACCGTCAACTGCCTGGCGGCCTCTCTGATATTGACGTCCTCTTGGAATACCCCCAGGAAAAGCTCCGCTGTGGAAAAGGTCGGAATCAGGCTGTCGAGACTCCCAAGCACCTCGTTGCGCACCCCTGCAGCGGTTTTGACGGCCTACCTTGACTGTCAGTATACCAGTCATCACTCGATGCTACTTTATCGAAACTTGCATTCAAAAGAACCGCCAGCGACCCTAGAATCGGAGTCGAGTACACGCTGTCCGGGACCACCGTGGAGGCTACATCCACAGCCTCGACGGCAGGGCCGACATGGTCGGCCATTTTCCGTCTCGTTCGTCGAAACAGTCCCTCCTGCTTGTACTGGTCTCGCGCTGCCTGGAGAATCTCGTACACAGCCTTCCAATCCCGCTGGCCTCGAATATTGTACGCCGTTCCCGACACGCCTCGCGGCGCCTCGCTCTTACACTGGAAACTGTGCATCGCTTCAGGGAAAATGTCGTTCCAGAATCGATACGTCTGGGGGTCCTTTAACGCCGGCCTTGGAGCACGAGTGTCGAATGTACTCGGTCCATGTGGTGTTGTACTGGCATTGACTGGCCGTGGAACCACTGTCTGAACATTTGCAACGACATATTGTCCTGACATCGCATCGTAGCGAGCGGGAGGGTCGACAAAGACCGGATGATAACGAGGAAGCCGATTGTCGATAAAGTCGACGCTGGGGGGCTGCAGGCTGGGTAAGTGATGCGTGTCCATCAAGATCGCATATATTGATACAGTAAGAATATATTCACGACTTTAAGACTGAGCTGACTGGTATCTCGTCGATAAGATTATCCCATTCATAGTCTCCTGTCAGCCTCGTCAGCCTCGCCTGGACCCCGTCACTAGAGCTGCCGACACCCTGCAATTTGGAATAAGAATAGCCATGGAGTTATATTCCATCCAGTGCCAATCCGTGGCTGCGTTTAGATTATAAATCTCCCTTCTCTTGCGGCTGTGACGAAGTCGACGTGGGCTCCAGGCATTGGCTGGCTGCACTGCACAGCCGCCGACCTTAATCATTGCCCCGCCTGCAGGATGAGGGGAAGAAGCAGATGGTGAGACGACAGGGTCAAGGATTGGGTACATTAAGAGGTCACTGACCACTTCTGAGATGGAGATTAAGTGGAAGTGAGTGTTGAGAGTAGATTTTGTTGCCATTCGTTTTCTCGGTCGCAGAGAATCACAACGCAACATGGGATCGGAAGAGAACGGTGTAGACGGTGATCATTCAGATGTGCCTGACGCATCTCAAGTGCCAATTCAGGTGCCAGAGGGCTCTGCTGGAAAATCCCAAGGCATCGTCGATGAAATCCAGGCTCTGAAAGCGAAACTCTTCCATCTCGAAAGTCAAATCCGCAATGGCGACGCACAAACACCACAAAAACCATTGCCATCCATATCGCAGGAGACAGCCGACTTCAAGCGGATGGAGGCGTGTCTGTACCGACACCGGAAAGAATGGGCGATGAAGAACTCTAACCTAGGAGATATCACCATGCTCCTCGACCCTCGCCCGTATTATCCGGAGCAGGCGCCTGCGACAGGTCCGTGGAGCTACCATTGGGACATCTATGACCAAGAGAGTTACTTTCGACCGGATCCCTTTGACCCTTCTCACCAATGCACGAGTTTGGAGCATGATGAACGGCCAACTCCGCCGGACGGGTATGACCGTGCGATAGACTACGGGCATCGCAGGGATCGACTACGCAAGCATTTCGAGTGGGAAATGGACCGGCTCTACCTGGTTGAGGAAGTCGAGGCGCGTCGACGAGCCAAGCTTGAGGAGGAAAAGGCGAAACAGGAAAAGGATCAAGCACCAGGAACAAAAAACACATCCAACTCCAAAGGCCGAAGGAACGGGAGGACAGGTTCGACGGACCTCAGTCCGGGTTCTCCCAACGGCGATGTCGACGAGCCCAAGATCAACAGGCTTGAATGGTCTGCTTTCAGGCGATTGACGAAGGAGGCGCCGGAAGATGCGTGTATCATCGATATCCTGGTCGGGGACCCGGTTCTCGACGACGCCATGTCCGATTTCCCGCTATGGTTTGGTTCAGCACTTCGAGGCCAGAAGGTCCGCAAACCCCAGGAAACAAGGGGCTTCGATTCATTGCCTCCTGGACAGGCGCCGATGCCCGAACGCATCCGCATCAACTCGGAGATCCTCATCAGCATCCTCCTCAAGATTCTCGGGTCGGACGGCAACGCCCTGGTCGCTAACGAGCCGATTGTCTTCATCAGGCCTTTCAAAGCGCTTACGTACTGCCAACAGGCTATACGAGACTGGTGCATGGCGCTCGAGAGGAAGTATGGCTCTGTGTCTACAGCGATACAGAAGCCTGTCGCTGAAGAAGATACTTCTCAGAATAGCACCTCCAATCCAGAAAGCTTGACTGATACAACCTTGGAACCTTCGATTGACAGCCAGGGCACTGCCTCTTCTCTACGCTCTCCCCAGGTTGATGATGGCAATCGTGATGACCCCAGCGACCAAGTAGCGCATGTGGAGGAGAAAGAAAAGGTGGAAGAAGAGTTAGAGCTGGAGGACGACGACAACGACTACGACGACGACGACGACGACGACGACGACATGACCAAATCGCCCTTGGCACTGAAGCATCTCCAGTGCCTTGTCAGCTTTCTAGACTCCGAGATCTCCGCCAAACAGAAACACCTGGCCAGCTCCGAGTGCCGGAAGGTCTTCTTCTCCGACCTCTGGCACCTCTTCCGGCCCGGAGCGGAAGTCATCGGCCATGGTGGGAAACAAGCGTATCGGGTGATCAAGGTTTCTCTGGCCAAGCATCGCGTGATGCCATCCTGGCAGGCACGATGGTATAACAACAACAAAAAGCAGGACACACCCTTCAGCATCACCTGCGTGCACATCGACTTCGACGGCAAGTCTCTCGGGCCCGTCCAGACCGTCTTCGAGTTCAAGCGGTTCGAGGGCGAACGGGAGATCACCTCTCTGGAAGTGTATCCGTTGCGATTCCACCCGGTCCGGCGGTCTGACTTCACAGAGGCAGAGTGGACTGAGATGGAGTCTATGCCCGCCAGTGAGAGACACCGGAGGAAGCTCATCCGCCGGGGAGCCAAGTTCCTCGAGGTGGCCGCCATCAAACACATGTACTATGCCGGGCCTACGCTGGTCTTGCGCGACGAGGTGGAGAGCCCCGTGGTGATCGACTTTGAGACGGCTTTTTCTGTGGAAGACAAGGAGCAGCAGCAATGGCAGCCTCGCGTGGAGATGGCGGTGGGCAACAACAACACCTCGACGGAAGAGGAGTACGAGGAGGACCAAACGTGTCACGGAGCCTGCTGCCAGAATGACAACGTCCATGACGACAGCTACGTTGAGGAGAAACAGCGCGAGCAGTACATCGGCGCCTTGTTGCCCAAGGACAATGCGGTCGATGAGCAGCCCTCGGTGGCTATCATCCCCAGACTGCTCGACGAGCTCAAAAGTGCCCCCGGTGGTACGTCTATCATCACCGACGACGAACTGGTCATCATGTCTTACCGGGTGTTTGGCTTTGTCCTGCGCAACCGCAAATGGGGTATCTCTTTTCCTTCTTATTATATGAATATGGTCACGCTAACTTGCAGTAGCAAACCTCGATCTGTCCTATCTGACCGATATTCACCCGCCGCAGAACGAAGACAAGAAGGAGACTAAGCCCAAGCCTGTGACGGCCTTCGATCAGCTCGTTCTAGAGGATGGACACAAGTCGATGATCGTCTCGCTCATCGCACAGCACTTCCGAGATAAAAAGATCACCTCGGAGCAGGGAGAGCAGGTCGATATTGTGAAGGGAAAGGGTATCACTCATCGTTTCAATCCTTTTCTTCCACAAAATGCTAACTATTGGGCGTAGGAAAGGGGTTGATTCTACTTCTTCATGGGGCTCCTGGAGTGGGCAAGACATCTACTGCTGGTATGTTCCATATTGTCTACATGATATATACCAATGGAAAGAAGGGGAGAGTGAAGCTTACAGTCTACAGAAGGAGCAGCTGAATTGTTCAAAAAGCCACTGTTTCAAATCACCTGTGGTCAGTTCTAAGACAAAACTGAACAACCCATAATAACAACTATTGACGGCGTATAGGTGACCTTGGGACCACGGCCAAGGAGGTCGAGAAAGCCCTGGAGACCAACTTTGCCCTTGCGAACAGATGGGACTGCATTCTGCTTCTCGATGAAGCGGATGTCTTTCTCGCAGAGAGAACCAAGGAGGACTTTAAGCGCAACGGCCTGGTTGCGGGTGAGTTCTGCCCAGACATTGAATGCAGCATGCTTGAAACGCTCACCTGTGACTTAAGTCTTCCTCCGCGTGATGGAATACTACGCCGGCATTCTGTTCCTGACGACGAACCGGGTCGGAGACTTTGACGAGGCCTTCACCTCGCGCATCCACATCAGCCTGTACTATCCCGAGCTGAACCAGAGCAAGACCGTGGACGTGTTCAAGATCAACATGGATATGATCGAAGAGCGGTTCAACAGGAGAGGGAGACGGATCGACATTGACAAGATGGGGATCGGCAACTTTGCCGGCCAACACTTCCTCGAACATCCCCACGCACGCTGGAACGGCCGTCAGGTCCGCAACGCATGCCAGACGGCGCTGGCGCTGGCTGAGTTCGAAGCCCAGGGAAACAGCCACCAGGCCATCCTCAACCCGGACGCCGTGATCAAGCTCACTGTCGAGCACTTCCAGGTCGTTCAGAACGCTTACTTGGAGTTTACCAAGTATATCAACGAGCTGTACGGGACCAGCGCCGCGCGCCGCGCAAAGGAGGCCCGCCGACGAGCGCTCCGGATGGCTGACGACGATGACGCCGGCATGGGAGGAGTTTCGGATTCGGATCGAAGGAGGGCCTTTGCCATGGCCTCTCAAGCCCAGCACCACCGGCAATTCACCCCTCAACAACAGTACCATTACCCTCAGGAACAACCCGCCCAGCCGGCGGGCATGCATCAAAAAGACCAGCGATACGCGTCGCCATATCTGAGCGGTGCTACTTCCCCACGGCCCGCGTATCCAGATCCTCGCAGTCACCTCGGGGTCCCGTCCAGCCAGAATTGGAATATCCCAACCAGATCGACGCCGGCTACTTTCCAGATGTCCACAGAGGAGCACCAACAGCAGGACACATCACCCTTTGCAGCACAGCATCAACCGTCAACCGTGGCCCATACCCCGGCCTTCCAGCATGGAATCCAAGAGATATATGCAGCAGGCGGCCAACAGAGGACGGGCGTATCGCCTGTGACGGTTGGCAACCCTGTTTTGGGGCAGTGGTCGGACAGTCAGTCTGGTGCTTTTTGAGATCTTCCATAAGTTAAATCTCATCGTAACCTAGGACTTGTTCAAGTAATGGTAAAAAGCATAAATTTATATTCTATTATTTTCTTCTATTCGGTATGAAAACCCCCAGTGACGACTGCCCGCGTCTGGAAATCTTCCAACGAGGGACTCCGTCTGTCAGAAGAGTCGTGCGGAGGACTAGCCCCCTCCTCGCTGATATGGAACTGCTTCTGTTCCCAGATCTGCAACGGTTCAACAGGTGCCATGTACTCCGTGCTGTCCGTTGCGCTATGCAGCTGGGACCGATCCGTGCGTAATTTCGACAGAGGCATTGAGAGGCCACCACCACCACCGCCACCACCACCACCGATAACACTTCGTATGACTCCTCCTGCCCCCGTGGCTGTGGTGTTCTTCGTCTTCCAGGTACGAGACCGCGAGCGCGAGCGCGAATAAGTATGTCCGCCCGAGGAGAAGAAGGAGCGGGCGCCCACGATACGGCGCAGCAGCGGCCATGTCTGCGGGATGTTGGCGACGATGACGGCAGTGCCGGCCTCGCGGAGGTACCAGTCGCGCCATTCGGAGCCGTACGGTTCAGAGAGGGAGTAGTACTTTGACATGACGGAGGCGATGATGACAAAGATGCCGAGGGAGAAGACGGCGCACAGGGTCAGTTTCTTGCCCGGCGAGAGTTTGGCGCGCAGCAAGAGCGGCAGCGGGATGAAGAGCATCACCAGGTCGGAGAAGACGTTCAGACTCAGCACAAGGATCAGGTGGTTCGTGTACACGGAGCACTGGGTTGTCGTCGCGGGGACGGCCCAGTAGTCGTGGAACGGACGACACCAGACGCCAAAGAAGAGGATCTGGATCAAAACGTATGATACGGCGCAGAAGATGCTGACGGCGAGCACGAACCGGTGGGATGTGAGGCCGGTTCTGAAGTGTCAGTGTCAGTAGAGCACAAATAGTTTGTATTTCATACAATGGAATACATACGTCATGTTGTTATACAATAACAACAAGCAAGCCTTGCACCCCCAGATGGTCGCCAGCCACATCTGCTCCCCGACAATCACCCACTTGCTGCCCAGGACACGGTCCGGGATGCTCGCCGCCTCAATGGTGTCGCTTTCGTCCAGCGGGACCTCGTTGCTGCCGTACCGGTCGACCATGGTGGTAGCAACGGTCATGAGAATATAGAAGATCTACCATTAGTGAGTGGGTTGTATGTATGAAAATGCCGAGACAAGCTTCGAGTTACCAGAACGAGTCCCATGAGTCCATCTTCCAGTTGCAGGTTCTTCACCGACCGCACCTGGATGATCCGCGACGTAAACCGCACCAGGACTGGAAGAGATTAACGGGTATCCTGAGTAAGAATTGAGTGGTCATGCATACCGATGAAGATCGCCATGGCTAGCCATATGTACGTCTCTGCATCGGAGCCCATCTCGTCAGGACGGCTGAGCAGACAGTAAATCGACACGGCAGCGACGGCACGCGATACACGACAGTATGAAAGACACGGATCGTCCTTTTAACTGCCAGTTCATCTGCTTCTGTATCCACCAAGGCTGAACCGAGTGGATTGTTTAGCTTTTCCACGTTTCTTTCCTTGTTTTTTCCTTATGTTTTCAGCCACTAGTTAGTCTCTAGCTCTGGTCAGGGTCTTCCAGTGGCGAAAGCCGGATATGTATCAATTATCAATGAATAATGATAATAGCTAATCCCGTGGTCCGAGACAATCAATCCCGACTTAAAGGGACGGAGAGACTCCGTCGAGGATAAGGCGCCCAGCATTCCGATTGTAGCTCAGCCACTGGAATGTAGTAGTCCTATCTAGTTGGTTAGTAGCAAGCCGTACGGGGCAGTATCAGGGATCCAAGGGGTCTCCTCTCCTCCGTATACTCCGTATGGCCATCAGCTCGTGGAACCACTGGATCGGGAGGAGCAATAAACAGCGGCTTGGCCAACAGGATCTCGGCATTGGCAGGTGTCCCTGAGATGGTGCAGAAAGCGGGCCTGCGATGTCGGACAATCCACTGGCGAGGAATTCGGCAGTGTTCAAAACATACAAAATAAATGATGATAATCAGATCTGATAATCCATTCTTTCTCGCGTGGTGAATCTGTATGTCGGATCCACAAGGCTGCAGGAATCCACAATCATAAGAGCAACAGTATGCAAAACATCTAGCCCAGACAGATCTATATCTATGTCTAAGACCACCATATATGAAAGAAGAAAAGAAGAGGACAGAAGAGAGACCAAAAATCAAGATCGAATATCGACATCGAACATCAAATCAATAAATATCGCTACAGCTTGCTCAACTTGCTAGGCAGAGGAGCCTTGAGAACCTCCTTGTTCCACGGGTATGGATCGAAGACGAGGTCGTTGACGGGGTTCTCCTGGCTGGCGCGGCGGAAGAGATCCTCGTAGACGTTGCCGTCGGCGCGTCCGAGGCTGCTGTCGAGCACCCAGTCCGGGATCTGCCAGGCATCGACGAGGCGGACGGCGTGCGGGCGGATCTCGTCGAGGAGGCCGAGAACAGCCTTGGTGCGGGTGAGGGTGAGCTGGCGCGTGGTGACGGCGCCCGAGGCGAAGAAGTCGGCCGCCTCGCGCTCCAGTGTGTGCAGGGCGTACAGGCGGAACAGCTTGCGCAGGACCGCAGCCGTGGCGGCGTCCACCGAGGCCACCAATTCGGGCGATGAGACGGCCTCGTGGAAGTTCTTGACCACCAGGTACTGCGAGTGTGCGGTCGACAGGCGCCAAAAGTCCACCAGTAGACTGTTCCACGACCGTTTCTCCACGTCGCGGTGCTTCAGCGCCTCGAAGGTGAGGTACGCCGTGCGCCACGCAAACGCCGCCACCACCTCGCTGTCCTCCTCCAGGATGTCGAACGAGGCGCCCTTGTCCTTGCGCGCCAGGTAGCTCTGCAGGATCTGGCTGGTGTCGTTGCCTGTTCCTTTGCCGGCCAGCACTGCACGAGCGGATTTAAGCAACTAAATTGTCAGCGAAGCAGGAAAAAATAACACAGATAAAAAGGAGAGAGAGATAAAAAGAAGAGAGAGAGAGACAGAGAGAGAGAGAGAACGTACGTATCGAGCGACTTGCTGCGTCAGCATGTAGTTGTCACCCTCCCATGTCAGGGTGGGCAGGTAATCCGAGTACCAGGGGCCGATGCCGCTGTAGCTACTATAGCCGTGGCCACCGCAGGCGCGACGACAGATCTCGAGCCCCTCGCCGGCGGTGGTACTAGCCAAGGCTTTAAGGCCGCAGGAGGTGGCGTGCAGATCTGCCAGCAGATCGGCCCCGGCACGCAGCTCCTCGGGGCCGGGGCTGCGCGAGTCCTGGCCGTTGGACTGGGTGGCGGCGTTCATCCGACTCTGGTTTTCCTGGTAGAGCTTCATCGTGCCGCGACCGGTGAAGTGCAGGGCGTACATGGAGGCCAGCAAGGGGAGGAGGCGGATCTGCACCATCTTGTAGTTTAGGACTTGAGTCTCGCCGGCGTTGCGGTCGGCGTCGCGGTCCTGGAACTGACGGCGCACGGCGCAGTAGCGGGTGGCGATGGTGACGCCGCGGGCAAGCACGCTGCCGGCGTCGAGCACGATGTTCGCCCGGACCCAGGTCATGGTTCCGTAGACGAGAGTCGGCAGCGCCGGACGGACGTACTGGTTGGTCTTGGGGTCAATGCGGGAAAAGCGCGCCAGCATGCTGATGTGGGGGATCTTGATGTTGTTGAAGAGCAGGAAGCCATTGTCCATGGTACTATGAAGTCAGCTGCTTCTGTCTCTTGAAGGAACGAAAGCCCTCTCCCAGTGACCACTCCTGCTTACTTGTAACCAAACTTGGGTCCGATATCACCCACATAGACATTCTCCAGCGGCTGATGGGTCTCCAGGTCCCTGATCTGGACCACAAACGGATGAGGCCCGTAGTTCTTGCCCGCGACGAAGAGCTGGGCCATGACGACGGCATGGTTGGCCGTGCGACCCAGCGAGCCGATCCACCACTTGGACGCCGTCAGCGTCGGCGAGTGCAAGGTGAAGGTCTTATCCTCCGGGTTCCACGTCGCCGTCGTCTCAAGCCCACGCACGTTCGAGCCGTGGCCCAGTTCTGTCTGCGCATAGCACCCGATGATCTCGTATTTTTCTGCGCGCTCGAGGAAGAGCTTCCGCTGTTCGGGGTTACTCTGTTCACGGAGGGTAACCTATTCATTAGAACGACACACACACACACAGAGAGAGAGAGAGAGAGAGAGATACTAGAAACATGCTCGCATGCAGCGCATACGGCGTCGGCTCGCCAATCAACCCCGCCGCAGCATGATACTCCTCCAAGGACCAGCGCCGCTCAACAGCCAACTGGTGCAGCCGCTTCCCCTTGGCCAACGCCCGCTGCAGCCGCTCAACGCGCCCAAGCGACTGGCTCTGCGATTTATCAAAGACAGCCTCGGACTGCAGCAGGGCGACCAGCTCCTTCTGTCGGTCCAGCGACTCTCGCGAGTGCAGCAGCTCGGCCAGGGCGTCGACCCCCACGGCCGACTGGGCCCGCTCGGCGGCCAGCAGCTCGCTCCCCTGGGGTCCGGCGGGCTTCAGGGCTTGTACCCAGGCAGGAGGCGGAGGAGGCATTGAGATCGTCTTTTTGAAAAAGAAAAACCAAAATAGAGATCAAGAATGATAGAAAAAAGGATAGATTCAGAGTGAGAGTGTCGGACGGTTGGAGACGGACGTCGGCCAAGTTTAAGGCAGGGCGAGGCGTGACACGCCCTTGTCCTGATCGGGAAAGTGCCGAGGTCCAGGGTTGACCGCCGACCGCCCGGGCTGGGAGTCTCCACAGCAAAGAGTGGAATCGAGGGGGATGAGAAGAGAGAAAAAGAGGGATGGAGGGGTAGAGATTGAATTACTCATGCTGGCTATCTGGGTGTTTACTTTGCTTTTACTATGCTTTTCGTTTCTATAAGCCGTCTCTTCGTCTGAACGGTTTGGCTGCTACTGGAAACTGCCCGTCATTCCTCACCGCCTAAGCAGACAGAACACTTTGTTATAAGTAGAAAAGAAATTTTATGCAAGTCATGGAAATATTCATGTGATCAGTCATGCCGGATCTTGGAGACCCGTGGGAGACACAGCCAGAGGAAGAGGATTGCCCCGGACACGCCGAGGATAAACGGCTGCAGGACTTTGACGCCCTTGGCTTCGGCAATGGCCCCGACCACAAAGGGCAGCACCGCCGCGCCGCCGCCGCCAAACGCCGCGGCGAAGCCGATGGAGCTGACGTGCAGGTGTCGCGGGAGGAGCTTGGTGGTCACGACGACTGCAGCGGGGAACAGAGGGGCCAGGAAGAAGCCCTGCAGGGAGACGGCCACGGCGGAGGCGTAGAACTGCGGGACCAGCCACAGGATCAGGCAGAAGACCATGGCGAAGAGAATATAGGCCTAGAAGAATTTAGATAATGAAATACCAAATGTATTTTATTTTTCTTGGTGAAATGCTTACTGCAATGGCGATCCGTTCTCCAATGCGCCCCGTCACAAAGCCGAGCGACACGCGGCCCACGGTGATCCCCAGCCAGAAGCCCGTCTCGGTCAAGCCGCTGCTGAATGCGCTGCCGTTGCGCACGCGCATCATAAAAGTGACGATCCAGCCGCCAAGGGCGACTTCGATGCCGACGTACCCTAGCAGGAACAAGGCGCACAGCCAGGTGACCCGGGCCGAGGGGCGCCGGAACAAGGCTTCTCGGATGCCGCCTTTCTTGGTGTCGACGGTATGGGCAACGGATTTCCGGAATTCCGCACCGGTAGCGCCCCAGAAGGCGATTGTCAGGAAAAAAAGCTCAATGACCGCACATGGAATCTGTTCCGTTAATAATCTCTATGTAAATATCAAGTGTTTTGAAATGTTTTCTACCCACCATGACGTAGTAGAAGTAGTACCACTGCACGTTTGCTTTTGTGATGAGAGCCGTCGCGACCAATGGACTCAAGACTGCTCCCAGGCCGTAGAACCCATGCAGCAGGCCGAGGACCTCGTTGGCATTGGCCATGTTGCCGATCCAGGCATTCCAGGCGGAGTCTTCCAGGCCGTTGCCGAACCCGGCGAAGATGAAGAACACCACGAGCACAGGATAAGGCGGGTGGACGCAGTTGACGACATAGGCCAGAATATGACATCCCGGGCCGAGCAGGGCAACCCCGCGCTGGCCGAGTGTCATGTGGATCCTGTTGTTGAGCAAGGCCGCAAAGACATATCCCACCAGCGGCGAGAGGAAGATCAAGGACACCACCGTGTATGAGAGGTGATAGTAATCCTCCAACTGTAGCGCTGCGGTTAGACCGTGCGTCTGGGAAGAGCTTGGATGGGTTTCGGCCGACCTACATATGGAATCAGAGCCTAAGAATTCCGTTAGAAAGCGTGATGCAAATCAAATCAAGAAGACTCACTCCGTACGCCGCATCGTTGGCACCCATGATTAGAAAGCTCCAGAAGGTAGCAAAGGTACGGAGGATGTTCGACCGTGGGTAATTCCATCTCTCGAGCGCAGGCACCGCCGTCCCGGGGGGGGTGGACAGCTGCGACTCCCGACAGGCGCTGGCATTGTCGCTTTCCCGCAGAGACCGTTCCGTTAAGACTTGGTTCTTTGCTGAAGCGGTCTCAGGCTGGGTCTGGGACTCCAGCTCAAGGACACAGGTGGTGGTCGAGCTCATGTGGCGATCAGCGTTCCTAAACACGGCACGAAACCCTGCGACTCAATCCAACCGTCAGTTCTGCCGAGGAGAGCGTGATAGAAGAGAGAGAGAGACTGAAGAAAGAAATATGGGGAGAAGATCAAAAACAAAGAGTGAGGAGGGGCTAACCTCATCGTCAAAGCTCCTCCTGGTTTCGTCGTCTCCACCCAACGTGCCCATAGACTGACAACGAAGACGGAGTATCGGGAATCTGGTCCGTAGGATAGGTTTAGCCGAACATTGGCCGCTAGCAGAGTCTGACTCTGACTCTGAGTCAGTATTGGATGCCTAAGCACCGGCACTGCAGTGGCTGCACTGAGCGGGACACGCCACGAAAGCGACCGTGGAGAGGGAGGGCCCGCATTTTTGGGCGAGACAGTGGCCAGCCCAGGCGGTTCTGGGGATGGATGGATGGATCCTGGATGAGGTGGGGTTGTATCCAATAAGTGCAGTTGGGGTGAAGCTGAAGGAAGCCGGTTTGAGGCACGAAGAAGAAAAGAATCCGGGCCGCTTCGGGTAAGGCGTGATGACTAAGCGGTAGACGGTAATGGTATACAAAATAAATTATTGAAGTATTGACTGGAATTATAGCATTGATAAACAAGATATCTATATGAGGATTCAATGAGCCAGAACTGGCGTGGCAGAACTATTCAACCAACTCAAGTACAGAAAAGATCGAGGTCGCGATCGATCGAGACTGGGGTTTGATATAGGAAAAGTTGAAGGCCGTCACCAAGGGCCAGTAGAGAAAGCTGCGGGGAATACTGATGGACGCCGTCTGTCTCACTCTGTCAACGGCAGCCCAAAGCCCCTCCCCGGCGAGGAGGCCATGGAACGCAAAGAAATAGACGTTGAATAGCGGCGTGTGTAAAAGGCCTGGTTGACCGCCACCTTGGCCCCCAGCGACAGAGCCGGGGAGCTGCTGTAATTGAACCGCCGCCCCAAGAACAGGAACCATTCGTGGCTGGGAATCGCGATGACAAGACCAATGATGACACTCCGCAGCGAGCGATGGGGGTCGAAGTCGTCGTCTCCGATCAGTTGCGCGGAAAAGTCTCCCAGACAAAATATCAGCGGGGTCAGGCACAGTTGAGTCATATATGGCCGTCGGCTTTGAGCGTGTGCAAACCAGCCCAAGAGTGATCTCGGCCTCGGAGTACCACGAGGGACCGCCTCTTGTTTTGTTCGGTGATGGTTCACTGGGATACGGCTCGGTCGGAGACGCAACCGAGGGGGCATAATTAAATAAAGATGGGGATGGCGCCGAGAATCCGCATGGTTCATAAGAAGGTGGGCTTGCCAAAGAATCATCAGGCATGGGATCCATGACTTTATAGGAGAATCCTGGTATACAAAGGGGGGGTTCTCAATCCTGAAGGAGCGGGTTGATTATCTAGTAGTTAACAAAAGATGTTACTTATAAAGACAATGCTGTAATGACTATCAGCTAGCATCTTTCCTAGTAAACAGGTCAAATCCTCAAGACATTCTATATTCTAATACAACTAACCAGACGACCCTCCCTCTAGGCGTCAGCGAACCCTCAGAGAGATCCATCGTCGCTGTCTTTTATCCTTTATTTCTCTCTGCAATAAGAAGGCGTGAGCCAGTCTGACTCGCTGACTCGCACAACTCGACTTGACGCGGCTTCCTCCTTCCAGGGCGACTTTGCTTCCTCCACAGTCAGTCGGTCACAGCGCGCAGTCATGGCTGAGGGGAGATCTTCTTTTCTGTCTATCGCCAGGGAACGCTTCTTCCTCTAATATCCCCGCCAACTGGTGTGGTCCTCTCTTCAAGGCGTTGTGTCGGCCACTCGGTGAAGGCTTGAACCCCCTGAAATACAGCTGAGTTGGTTTCATTTGTGACTTTTGTTTTATTACTCATTGAGCCTTCGTCGGGTGCCACGTCGAGCTGCAGCTAGTTCCAATCCCTGTCATACCGCGCTCTGGTCGCTTACTTATTTGCGTGTCTAGGACCCAGATTTCGTTGATCGACGCACTTGAAGATGACGGAAACACCCTCGTCGCGGTCTACACTCGATGTCAATGGACTCTATATTCTTCTGTCTGATCGTGGGGGACTCAGCTATCTCTTCCATTGGGGCTTTTACCTGCACCAGTCCGAGAAGTCAGGCTTCATCCACCATCTGGTGAATCACCCTGGTTCGAGCGAATGGGTCTGCCTCACCCAGCCCAGCGAGGAGGTCGTGGCCTCCCCCACGTTTCTGGCGGCGCTCAAGGTGGGAGACTTGGAGCCTATACTACATCAACCGCTTGGCGAGCGGCTCCATCGGATTCCGATCTGCCATTCGACCCGTTTTCATGAAGACATCACCTGTCGGGTGTGGCTCAAGGAGGCCCTGTTTGCCTTGGACGACGAAGGGTACATCAAGCTCGTCAAGAGCGTGGGAGATATCGAGGAGGAAGCAAAACACCTCGCAACCCGAAACAAGAGTCTGGGGCGGAGGACAATTGCTCTGAGTGGCGGCAGCATCGCTTGATGGGGTGATCACAACGATTATAACGTAGGTCTAAGCATACCATGATCTTATTCTATAATTGATTCAATACTCAGAGGAGTTCCTGGTGATTAATGATTAGAATATCTCTCTGTACCTCGCAGATCCTCGTAGACTCTGTACTTGATACATATTGATACCGTAATTACGTATTAATGCCTGTCAGCAAGTTGCATATGGCAAATGCAACTGCAATCAATTCGTCCTGAAGAACCCCCCCCCCCTGCAAGCCAGCGTTTCTCCTCGCGATGAGTGGCCCTGTCCTTGCCCACAGCGACTCCTCCTCCCAGCCACCACGGCCGATTGTCCTGACTGAACGCCCCTTCGAGCCTGCCGACGACTGGGCGGGCCTGACCGACCCGACAGAGCGGCGCAGACGTCAGAACCGGATCAACCAGCGAGCTTATCGTGGGTCTATTTACTATTTCCATCCAGACTAATGGATGATTGGAAGAAGAGGCTTTACTAACCGATCAGGTCGACGGAGACAGGTGGAGAAGACTGTCAATAATGTCGGTCCACAAAGCACAGACTACAAACCTCCCCCTCCTCCTCCTCCTCCTCCTCCTCCTCCTCCTCCTCC